CCACTCATCTGTGGATGGACACAGGCAGCTTCTAAGATTTAGCTATTGTGAATTGTGCTGCTATAAACATGGATGTGCGTGGATCTCCGTAATAGGATGTCTTTAACTCTTTTGGGAAGATACCTACAAGAGGAAGAGCTAAGGTCAATGGAATTTCTATGTTTAGTGTTTTGAGGACTCTCCAGTATTAGTTTCCATTCCCACCAACAAAGTACAAGGGTTCGTTTTTTCCCTGCACCCTTGCCAGCATCTGCTGATTAGACTTCTTGCTGATGGCCTTTCTTTTTTTGTTGTTTTTTGTTTTGTTTTTTTTGGTACCGGGGATTGAACTCAGGTCCTTGTACTTGTGGGGCAGGCAGCAGAACCACTGAGCTAAATCCCTGGCCCCTGATGGCCATTCTTTCTGGAGTAAGATGGAAGCTCAGTGTTGTTTTAATTTGCATTTTTGTAATGGCCAGAGCTGTTGAACATTTTTTCATTATTAGTCATTTGTACACTTCTGAGAAACATCTGTTCATTTCAGTTGCCCGTTTCTTGATTGGGTCTTTTATTTTGGGGGGAAATTAATTTTTTTCAAGTTCTTAATATAGTCTAGATATTAGTGCTCTGTCTGAGGAGTAGCTGGTGGATTTTTTTCTTACTCTGTAGGTTGTCTCTTTACTCTGTTGGCTGTTTTCTTTGCTGTCCAGAAGCGTTTTAATTTGATATGATCCCATTTGTTGATTTTTGATGTTTCTTGTGCAGTTGGGGATCTGCTCAGAAAGCCTTGGCTTATACCCATGTCTTGAACAGTTTTATGTGTTTTATCTTCCTGCAGATTTAGTGTTTCTGTTTTAATATGTAGATCTTTGATCCATTCTGATTTTAACTTAGTGTGGTGAGATGCGGGTCTGGATTCAGTCTTCTGCATGTGGGTAGCCAGTTTTCCTAGCACCATCTGTTAGAGAGGCTGTCTTTTCTCCAGCATGTGGTTTGGGACCTTTTGTCAGTGTGCCGGGAGTGTCTTCATCCTGATCTCTGTACCTTTGGTCTGTCTGTGTGTCTGTACCTGTGCCAGTGGCAAGCTGTTTTAATCACTGGAGTTTTGTAATGTAAGTTGGAGTCCGGGATTATGACATCTCCTGCTTTGCTCTTGTTGCCCAGGATTGCTTTTGCTCTTCTGGGTCTCTTCTGGTTCCATGTGAATTTTAAGATTGTCTTCTCCAGTTGTGTGAGGAATGCATTTTGTTTTTTAATTTTTTGGTGCTGAGAACCGAACCCAGGGCCTCATGCTTGCTAGACAAGCGTTCTACCACGGAGCGAAATTATCCCCAGGCCCTGCTGTTGGTATTTTGATTGGGATTGCATTACATCTGTATAGTAGTCTTGGTAATATGGCCATTTTGACAATACTGGTTCTGCCTATCCAGGAGCGGGGGACATCTTTCCATTTTCAGATGCCCCCTTTTATCTCCTTTTTCAGAGTTCTATAGCTTTCATTATAGAGGTCTTTAACTCGATAAGGTGAATTCCTAAGTATTTACTTTTCTTTAGGCTATTGTGAATGGTATTGTTTTCCTAATTTCTTTCTCGGTGGATTCATTATTGTACAGAAACACAATTGATTTTGTATCCTGAATTACACATTTTAAGTGGGTGGACTATCTGGTTTATGAGTTTTATCACAATAAAGCTTTTTTTAAAAAACCGGGTCTCACTGATAGCCCAGGCCAACCTTGAGCTCACTATGTAACTCAGACGGATCTTGAACTCAAAATCCTCCTTGCCTTAGCCTCCTGAGTGGCTGGGATTACAGATGTGCATCACCATGCCGAGCAATAGAGCTGGTTTTTTTTTTGTTTTTTGGTTTTTTTGGTATCAGGGATCGAACTTGGGTCCTTGTGCTTGCGAGGCAGGCGACGGAACCACTGAGCTAAATCCCCGGCCCATGTTTTCTGAAAACATACTGGCTGACTACACAGGGAGGACAGAAATATGCTCTTCCCCTCCAGTCCTGCCCTCATTTGCAGCATGAGGTGGGCCAGAGCCTGCTCCTGAGCCCCGTCATTTGCCCAATGCCAGTCACAGATGGCCCTCCCGGTGCTGTCACCCCCCTTCCTATGTCCCAGGGGCAGGGCTGGGGACCGACCAGCGACACACAGAGTTCTCACGTTGCCCAGGTTGCCTGGCACCGGCTGATGCCTGCCTCCTGCTGTTCTGCACACTTCATCTTCTATGTGGAATTGCAACCCAGTTGGCTAGTGCTACCCCACCCCTCCTGTATTAGGCAGAAACCAGATGTGATGCTGTCCAGGTGTATTGAATTTGTGCCTGTGGTTTGAGGAAGACTTGACACCTTTATACCTATTCTCCCTACCCAGGACCATAGCACATGGTATATTTGTTTATTCATTTAGGTCTTATTTTATGTCCTTCATTCAACTTTTATAGTTTTACCTTTCTTCTTAAATCTATTGCTAGGTCAGGCTGGGGATTTAGCTCAGTGGTTCCAGCGCTGCTTCGAAAGCACAAGGACCCAAGTTTGATCCCTGGTGCAAAAAAAAATCTGTTGCTAGGTATGATCAGATTATTTTGCAGTTCAGCCTTTAACTGCTGATGGCTGATAGAGTAAAAGAACTATAGTTTTTACATATCTTGCTATCTGCTTCTTGTTTCACCTTAGGTTCTCTTTGCAGTACTAACATTTGTTCACCTGCGTTTGTTAGACTCAGGGAACAACACCCCCAAGTTTTCCTCTTAGTTTCCAAGATACTGTCCTCTGTTGCTTTCCTGGTCTTTCTTGGTTTTGCCTCAGTGGATCTTTTTCCTGTACCTGCTTTTCAAGGCCTCTCCAAAAATACCAAGAACATCTAAAGCTCATAATAAAATTAGAATTAAATGTAGGCACGATGGTGCATGTGCCTGTAACCCCAGGATTCGGGAGGCAGAGGCAGGAGGATCACTATGAGTTGGGCTACACAGTGAGAGTCTGTTCCCAATACACAAACAGAATTTAAGTTAAGAAAATTACACATAAAGTGTCCAGGGCTGCTTGCTGCTAGCCTGCTAGCACATTTGTACAGATTCTAGGAAGGTTCCCCTATTTCCTGTCACTTTATTCTGTGTCTTGAGAAGATTGTCATAGCTAACTGATTCTGTTGTAGTCTAACGTGCAACTGCAGAAAAATGTCCTAATGAATTGCATCCCTCCACACCTACCAGGTTGGTGCCCCAGAGGAGGTGCCCCAGGATCATGGGGCAGCGGGTCAGTCCTCTCCCGCCGGCTGTGGGACCCCCTTGCCTTCCAAGTCCTTTCCCCCCATGTCAACTCACGGGTGTCACTTCTCCCCCACAGAGCGCGAACCCCAACATAACTGGGTCTTCCTCTTCCCGGCCTCTCTCCAAGCCCCCGGATCACAACCCACAGTAGTTCTTCCTGGCCCATCCGGGAAGCCTGTCCAAAGCCACCACGACACCTCCTTTGGCTCTCTGGAGTCGGCTGTGCCGCAAGCGTCATCAGCGTCCTCTCTGCACCACTGACCCTCACGCCCCGTGTCTGGCATCCCCCAGCCTCTGGCCGCAGTACTTGCCGTGACGCGGTGTACTGTGGGAAAGTGACCAGCAGGGCTGGCGCTCAGCACCTGGCCGTCCCTCGCCTGTCCCCTTCCCTCACACCTGCTCCAGGAAAGCTGCGGGGCTGTGTAACTGACAGTGTAACTGACGTGGCCTCAGGGTTTCTCCTCTTGCATTGTGTGGCCATTCCCTGGAGTTCTCATATTTCGGCAGGAATGCAGCATATTTGGCCCCTAATAAGGAACATTTGAAAATCCTCCAGAAGGAAAAACATACAACTTTGCAGCTCCAGTGCCACCGAAACAGGTGGCGCTAGAGGGCTTGGGGCTTGCCTGGAGGCTCTCACAGCAGAGCGGTGCCACCGTGCCACTGAGGCCCAGGCTGGCCGAGAAGGGAAGGCCTACCCCACGACAGCTGCATTAAACAAAGCACAAAGCGCCGAGACCAGGCCGTCCCTGCTGGTGACAGACAGTGCTTTGTAATTAAGGATGAGTCCCAGTGTTACTGGTTTAAAACCTTGACTTCATCTCAGCCACACTTGTTGTCTTTTGCTCTGGTTCTCAGCCCACTCCTGCCCCTCTCTACTGGGCTGTAATCTGAACCAGCTTGTGAAACATTTGGAATCCAGTTAGAGTTTAAAACAAACACAGCTCTTGGAGAACTCAAATGAAACCCGAAACAGAAGAGAAAGTAAACAAATTTAAGGCCTGGGATTTAGCTCAGTGGTTTTGCCACCTGCCTTGCAAGCACAAGGTCCTGAGTTCGATCCCCGGTACCCCCCCCCCAAAAAAAAAACAAGTTTAGAGTGACCCTGTCAGAGGCAGGAGTGGGGAAACTGAGGAAGGCTGTGTAGCAGCGGGGCCCTCAGGGAAGAGGCCCTGGGGGGGTTGTCACGAGGTGGGGTCTGCAGGGGCCTCTTCACCTTGCACCAGCCTGGGGTGAGACCGGGGGTTAGAGCGGCAGGTGAGTGCTGTGTGCACCAGCGGTGGTGCCCGGAAGGCCCGGCTCTCCTGCATGGCCCTGCTCTCTTGGGCCCTTCCCTGCCCTTCCTCCCTGGGTCGTTGTGAAGCAAGGGCCAGGGCTCACGGCTCCCGCACACGGGAGGAGCCGTGCAGCATGACACCCGCCCCTCATGCTGCAGACACTTCCTCCGCGTGGCTTGCAGGTTCCAGGAGGTTGGAAGCTATGTCATGGTCACCGGGATGTTTTCTAACTGCTGTGCTTTGTTTAATGGATGATTTAGGGGAGTGTAGGAGTGTTCTGAGAGAGAAACTTCTTTCCACCCTGCCTCCGCGTCCGAGGCCCTTATTTCCCGGGTTCCTTCGCCCAGCGCTCCAGTTGTTTGCCCTGAGAAATTCGTCCTTCTCTGCCTGCCTTGCGGGCTGCTGGCTCTCCCGAAGTGCCTTTCCTGCGCCCATCCACTTTCTCTGTGTTGCGCCCCCTCGCAGACCTCGACCCCTGGTGGCCCTACAACTGTGAGCACAACGAGTCGGAGCACGTCCCTGCCAACTGCACCGTGTGTGCCCACCATCTGCCCCTCGAGGTGATGCTCCCGGAGGACACCCCGAGGACGTTCGACAGCCTGCGGCAGCTGGTCATCAAGGTGAGGAGGCGCCCTGCTCGCTCACTGCACCATGGACCCCGCTCCCGGATTTTTAATCGGAACTCTGCGTTTGTCTTGCTCTCCTTGCAGACAGGACAGCCTCTGCTGACCGAGGAGATCCAGCGCTTCCTGTGCCAGTACCCAGAGGCTGCGGAAGGCTTCCCGGAGGGCTTGCTTGCCAAGTGGCAGCGTTGCTTTCCTGAGCGGTGGTTCCCGTTTCCTTACCCGTGGTGAGTGCAGCAGGGATAGGCCAGCGGCTAGGCCGGGGCTCACAATAGGTAGAGACGCCACTCGAGTCCACCCTGATGGCCACGCTCAGGTCAGGTGAGAGAGGGACAGGTGGGACAGAGGTGGCAGAAGGAGGGGCTGTGCATGGGAGCCCAGAGACTCCTTGAGAGACCTGAGCTCTTCTCAGCAAGTTCTGGCAGAAAAAGCAAAGTCAGTTCCCATCACGCAACTGTTCCCAAGTGGAAGTAAACTCGCGTTTTCAAGTTTTGTGCTGGGTAATTCCTGAACACTCCCACCTTTCATTGAGTTTGCCGTTTATGTTCGTACTAGAACGTGCAGTGTCTCAAGATAATTGGGCTTCACACTATGTGCCTCCCGGAGTCTCGGGGCAGGGGGCAGGGCTTGTGTCCCCTCATCATCCCTCTCTTATTAGCTCTCTCCACCCAGCCTGCTGTCACTGCAGTCTCTCTTCCAACAGAGAGTGAACGATTGCTTCTCTCCCTCTCTCTCAGTATTATTTCAGCTGGGCTTTATAAACATCCCACCCACACGCACACATGCAGCAGTGGAGCTCCGAGTGTGACACCTAAACCCTGGCGGCGCTGCTTTTCCATCTCCGCCCCCACCCAGTTTCCCACCCTTTCTAGGAGCCCTGCTAGGCCCGCAGAGAGGCTGCCGCCCATTCTCCCATTCTCGTGACGCTGTTTTGTTTCACACTTTTACAGGAGGAGACCTCTGAACAGATCACAAATTTTACATGAACTTTTTCCTGTTTTTACCCACCTCTCATTTCCAAAAGATGCCTCCTTAAAAAAGTGCTTCCTTCTTCACCCGGAACCTGTTATGGGGAGTAAGGTAGGAAATTTCCAGAGGACTTGGTCTAGAATTCTCCTCGTTGGGGACCTGGACTGAAGTAATCAGGCCCATATGGCTTCTCCCCTCCTGCTGCTAACCAGGGCCTACGGTGCCCCCACCCTGTTACAAAGACAGGTACCCAGAAAGCCTGGTGACCTCACAAACCTGTTTCCCCCTGTCACCCTTAGGGCCAAGCTACTACTACGCATTCAGGGGGTGGGGCCATCAGATATGCAGGGACTAGATTGTGCAGGTCGTGTGACTTCCCTACCTCAAATCAGAAAGCAGGCAAGTTATGCATAAGAGTTATGAACGTCACTGTCCTGCTCTGAAACATCACAGAGAAGATTCTACAGGACCATTCATTTTGGCAAAAACAACAAACTTGGCCATATAGAGAGCAGATGTTAATTCTCTGTACAGCTGCGTGGCAAACCTGATGGTTCCTAAACTTGATGGCAGTCTGCAAGCCAAAGTCCAAGACAAAGACAAACAAAACAGAAGTATAAAAATGTGGTTTAAAAGCTATGTCTTCAGCCAAGCCTAGTCTGTAATCCCAGCCCTCAGGAGACTGAGGCAGGAGGATTGCCATGAGTTCAAGGCCAGCCTGGGCTACACAGTGAAACTCTGTCTCAAAATAATAAATAAATAAGGACAACCACTTTAAAAAAATAAAACCTTAAAATTAGAAAGGGGTGTAGGTAGAGACACCGGGGATTTAGCTCAGTGGTTTAGACACCTGCTGAGCAGGCTCAAGGACCCGAGTTCAATCCCTGGTACCAAAAAAACAAAAAACAAAACAAGAAAGGGGTATAGCTCAGTGCTTAGCATGTGTAAGGCCCCGATTTGATCCTCAGCATCCCAAAAATGCATATAAAAGAACTAAACCAAAATACTGTTAACTTTTCATTTAAACACCAAAAATGTTTACCCTCTTCAGTACAGAAACCTTGCATTTATTATTTGCTGATATTTTTGCTAAGCAAATACTAAGGATTCTCTTTCCCACAAAATGAAAAAGAAGTAAAATTCACATTGGTATTGAGGATAGCAGTTTTTACTCCCCAAAAGGTAATACAATTAATAAGCAAATAAAAGACAATAAACTACAGAGGGGCAGTATGTGAATGAATGCGAATGCTCCAACATCTTCATTCTGTAGAGTAGGGAACTGAGTCCAGAGAGACTGAATGATCTGCCCAGGGCCACAGAGCAGGGTCACAGGATACCTCCAGCCACCACGCCATTCCCAGCCAGCGTGGCTTCCCCTGAAACAGAACAAGTGTGAGACGGCAGGTGGCGAAGTGGGCTGGCCCAGGCTCGGGTCGGAGAAGGCCGCCCCACCAGGTAGGAAGGCCCCTCTTCACCCTCAGTTCCACCTGGCCTGGGCCTGAGGACTGAGAGGGAGTTTGAACCTGGATTCGTTTAAAAGAATGAGAAGAAGGAATTGTCCTTTGTAGAAGGTTTAGGGGCAAGGGTGTGGCCATGCTTAGCATGTTCGAGGCCTGGGTTCCATCCCCAGGATCTTAGCAAAAAGTTGTTTTTTAATTTCCCAAAGTATGATCCCTACAAACTCTGGGTTGTAACTCCAACCTCCTAACATTCTTACTTGGCTCCAAATCTGCTGAGCTCTGTTGAAGGAATTTAAAAGCCATAAAAACAATCATCTTTGTCTAGAAGTAAGAGCTCGCGCCTGCCAGCAGCAGGGAGGTGCAGGCCCTGGCTTCACACTTCACAGCAGTGTGTCCTGCTGTTCCTGGCTGGAACACAGGCCCTCCCATGAGTTCATCTTCCTGATCATGATATAATCCTGGGTGAGGACTTTATCTTCATCTCCAGTTTCCCACTTGAGTACTGAAGTCAGTTTTGCCAGCCAAAGGAGTGAGCGCGGTTTCTCAGAGCCTTATCGAAACATCTCACTGTGGTCCCCAGACCTTTGGAAGGGGAACAGCCAAGGAGCAGAGGTCCTGAGAGTCTGGTTTCTCAGAGCATCCGCTTCCTGTCCTGGCCCGAGCTCTCCTTTCCCCAGCCTCGCCACCCCACCCATGTCTGTATCCCATCCCTGGCCTGGGGAGCATCTCACATCTTGGCCCTGGGTCCCAAGGCAGCCTGGGATGGGAGCTAAGCAGTAGGGAGGGGTCACTAAGCAGCAGGGCCACTCCGCCCACCCCAGGGCAGGGGCTGCCTCTGTCCACCCCTCGTGGAGGGGCTGCCACCTCCACCCAGCCTGCTGAAAGGGAAGCACTCTTGTTCTCGGGCTTTTGGGGTCTTTGCAAGACCACAGATCCCAGGGTGGCAGTCTGCATTAGCACCATCACCTGCAGGCCAGCTCTAAGCCTCCTCCTGTTACCCTGGCAGCCTGTGACATGGCTCTGTCATTGCCTTGGAAACAGAATCATGCCCAGGATTGGGGTGAGGGACAGATGGAGCCAAAACTCAAGGCTCTAGAGGCCTAGAGTGGTAAAGAAAGAACCAAGACCTGGCCGGGGCTTCAGACTGGTGAACCCTGTTTTAGAGGGCAGGAGCTAGGGCGGGAAGCCTGGGCGAAACCGCTTCTCCCTCTGCCCCTGTTCCCACCCTGGGAGACCCCAGGGGCGCACAGTTCCCTGCCTGGCTCAGAGTGGGTCTCACCGAATGCTTCGCTGGTTCCTCTGCAGGCGCACATCCTGGGCATTTCTGTTTTCAGGTTCACAGGCCAGGCTGCTGGCCTTAGTTTTAATTAGTGACATGGCAAAACTGCTTCTTCAGTGTAGACTTGAACTTGCTGCTGTGCAGCTCTTGTCAGAAGGCTAGTTTGAGAAGTGGACGTCCACGGAGGAACCCAAAGGATGCAGACCCTCTGCTTAGCTAAAACATCTGGACCAGACCAGAGCCTCCAAAGACCGTGTTCCTCAACCCCTGCTTGTTGGACCCACTTGTATGACATGGCAGCAAGTAGCTTAGTGGCAGATTACCTTATATGCACAAGGCCCTGGGCTCAAGGCCCAGCTTCCAAAGTCAGAAATTGCAATAAAGTGTTTTGCCTTTGACCACTTTGAAGCTGTGGCCTCTGCAGAGCAGCTGCAGATTAGGAAGCCTATGCAGCAGCTTCAGAGTGTCCTGAGAGGAACCACAGGAGGGACCTTGCCCTGGTCTCAGAACCAGGAGATGCCATGCATAGAAGTTAGTTCTGCTTTCCTCTCTGCTTAGGCTGCTGGGAAGCTCAAAGCATATGTGTGAGGGTTTTTGTTGCTTGTCCCCAGGTTTTATTTCTGTTTTCTTTCCCCTCCCTTGCCTCCCCTTATTCTCTCAGATGTATAAAGTGCATGACCTGTTTGCAGTCGGCAGTGGTGAGGCCCTGTTGCAGCTCATCCCGCCCTTCCATTGCCGGCAACACTGTCAGTCCGTGGCCATGCCAGTCGAGGCAGGGGACATCGGTATGTAGGGTCCCAGGGGGGCAGGGGCTCCAGAGGCATCTGTGTAGTTGGGTTGGGTTTTTTTTTTCGGTACCAGGGATCGAACTCAGGACCTTATGCTTTCGAGGCAGATGTAGCACCACTGAGCTAAATCCCTGGCTCTGGTTTGGTTTTTTGAGACAGAGTTTCACTATGTAGCCCAGGCTGGCCTTGGGCTTGCATGATCCTCCTGCCTCAGCCTCCTGCATGCACCACCACACCCAGCTAAGTTTTTAACTGAGAAAATATTCAAAGCAGCAAATATTGCCTTCACAAACATAGCATTCTTTTATTAACAAGGATGATATATCGGTGCTTAGAAGTAAAACAACTAATGTAGCAGAGATAAAAGCCTTGTACCTGCAGCACTGCAAGTGCATTGTCTATTGGTCATAGAAACTTCAGGTCAGAAGAGATTCTGGAAAATATTTAGACGAATTCCTAATCTTATGGATGAGGAGGTTGAGACCCAGGGAGGACGTCATTCAGGCGGGCAGCAGGTCTGCCGTGTCTGCCGTGTCTGTCTGAGCTAGGGCTGGGACAAGTCGAGATTGGAGGAACCCTTTCTAGGCCTGTACTGCAAATGAAACGCTGCCAAGTGGCTTTCAGGGCAGTGGTCCGGGGAAATGGTGCCTCTTTGTGGGTCCCGAGGTCACGTCACAGCCTCACGCTGATGACACCCTGACTCCACGCCTCCCGCTGAGCCCCGTCCTGTGCCTTGTTCCCTAAAAACCAGTGCCACAGACTCGGGTTTGCTCAGCCACTGCCAGCAGCAGTCTCTGACCACGGCCTCTGGGCAGAAGTGGACCCGTGTGGCCAGGCATCCAGCAGACCCCTTTGCACACTTCCTGCCTCGCCAGGTGACCCCAGCAGAGCCCAGACCCGTTTTCCAGTTGATTTCTTTGAACTTCACCCATTCAGGAGACCCCGAATTCCTAGAAACTTCACCTCCTTTGGGGGTAGGGAGAAGACTGCCAGCTGTGCCAAGTTTGTTCCAAGTTACGTAACTTACCTCAATTTAGGATTGAAAAATAAAATTAACACATTAGGCCTTAAGAAATAAAGGAGCACAGCTGGCCTGCCCCTCAGGAAACTTCTGCAGGAAATGGCATCTTCTTACAGAAATGCTCCCGAGCCGATTCCACAGGGGAGCCGTCCTTTCACAAAGGGAGACTGACGCAGGAGTCTGGACAGTGCCTTTGGGTTTGAAGTTCGTAGTTCTGCATGAGCAGGCTCCTGCCTTAGGCTCTATAAATGCCTGACTCTGCACACAACCAACCATGGAAACAGCAGAGTTACCCACATTCCAGATTTCTAGTCCCCTCAGACACCCAGAATGCTGATTACAGACTTCAGGAGAAGGAAACAAAGCTGTCTGGCAACGGTCAGAGGAGCTCTGAGCCTCAGACCCGGCCGGAGCTCTTCCGCCACACTTCAGCGGCCGCTTTGCTTCCAGATGGCAGGGAGCCTGTGGCCGGCAGGGTCTGGAGGTCAGCTCAGGATGGGGCTCGGAGAGGGGCCAGGAGACTGAGAGAAGAGGGAAGCAGGAGAGGACAGTGGCAGCTGAAACAGTGGCAGTGACAGGGGCCACAGCTGCAGCTGCCACCATTACAGAGTACAGAAACAGTCCAGTGCCTCTACAGCCTGGCAGCCCCGCTTCCTTGGGACCTCAGAGTGGCCCTGTGACAGGTTCTCAGTGTGCTCTGGAGGTGGGGCAGTGGATCAGCAGGAAACCTGGGACTGGAGCCTTCCTGAGAGGGGCCTGGGCTGGGCTCCACATATGCCATCACCGCACAGCACAGCACCACACACAGCTGCCCGTGTCCCCGGCCCAACACAGGCACCACCTGCTCCAGAAATTTTCCTCTCCAGAGGTTCTTTGTTGCTTGGGGTTATTGTGTTGTGGTTCAGAACCTCAGTCTGAGATCTCTTGAAATTCGAAAATATCTGAGCCGGTGTTGCCAGCCCCAGGCACTGTGATGTTTAGCACCCTCGGGAGATTCTTGATTTTCCTGTCACTCTTGAGAGGTCGCAGTGGGCAGTCCTGTGTTGTATAGTGATGGCAGCGGCTAGCCTGAGCCCCATCACCCTCAAAACAGTCCAAGTCTGAGGCCTTCTGGTGGTCTGTCCCTCCTGGCCCACTCCCGCAGGACTCATGACAGAAGCCTCGTCTGAGGGTCACTATAGCCCTTGCACCCTGGGTTCTTGGGTCGGCAGAGCTGGCGCAGAGCCTGCCTTGGTACACAGTACACATCAGAAAGCCTCCCAGGGGCCTGGTGTTCCTCAGACTGACTTCTGTGGAGCCCTCTCTTTGGAATGTCTGTGTGGGATATCCCAATTTGAGAACTGCTACTTTCGCTTCATCAGGACACGCTGTGATAAACTATCCTACATAACCCAAGGAGGTTGGGACAGAGGGTCCTGCCGCCCTTCAGAATCCCTCCTGCCTTGCCAATACCCTTGGGATCAGGCTGAGAGTCCTGTGCCAGCTGTCCCTGCAACTGCCGAAGCGGGGTTCCCCCTGCCCAGGCCAGGTGTGGGGCTGGGGTGCAGGGAAGGCCTGGGGTTTGAAGTGGCACCTGCTGGGTGTCAGGTAGGAGAGGAGGAGTGGTAGAGGGGCTGACTGACCATGCAGAGGAGCCTACAGACCTCCAGGTCAGACTCCCCCTTGGCAGACCCGCCCGGCTCTGCACACAGCCGTGCTCACTGTGCCAGGGCCCTGACACCTGCTTTCCTGTCACTGTTTCCCTCCAAGGCTACACCAGCGCTGCCCACTGGAAGGCCTACATCATAGCCAGAGGGGTCCAGCCTTTGGTCATCTGCGACGGAACCACACTCTCAGAACTGTAGGCACCAGGACTACCTACCTACAGAGTGACTCAGACCTGAAAGCCAGGTTGAAAGAGAAGAAATAAAAACAAACAATGAAACCACTTTCCAGGGGTTGGTTACTTAGTTGCCTGCCCTGCATGCTGGAGAAGGTGCCAGGGCCTACCCACCCCTCCCTGCTTCCCCAGAAGCTCAGGAAGGACTCTGGCCTGGCTGCTTGGCCGGAACTTTGCAGCACCTGTCTGAGAGACTGGGCTCTTCCGGGCCCACAGCACTGCAAGGCACCGCCAGGTTGTACCAGAGCCCCCTTCACCAGTGGTCCTGCCTGCCTGCCTGCTGTCTTCCTGGCAGCATCACCCTGGGCATTTTTGGAAAGCCATGGCTGACTAAAATCAAATCATTGCAGTGTATAATTTCTGCAGAATGGAATTAGAGCCAGTGAAAAAGATGGAGTAACCCAAGTCCCTTGTCCCTTGTTCCTTGTGCTGGAGTCACGGGTGTGCCCCTGGGCAGGGCGTGACTGCTTGCTGACAGGAGCCCCAGCAACCCTCTGCGTCTCTCACCTCCTGTCCTGTGTGGTCCCCGCCCCATCTGGATGGTTTGGCAGCACAGCTGTCCACTCCCTGGGCCAGGGCAGAGCCCTTCCTGCCAGGTGCCCCCACCCCTGTCAGCTCCTCAGGATGAGGTAAAGTAGCACCAGAGAGGAGAGAGAGCCGCCTCCTAGGCTTGATCTTTAGGGTCTGACTGTCCGCAGGATCCCTTGCAGATGCATCAGCTGATGCCGATGCCGTGATGCTCTGGGAGGAACTCCAGCCACAGTGCTGCCGCCTGGGCCTGCAGCTGACTATCCGCTCCTGTCCTTAAGGGTCCCCTCGGTGCTGGGAGACGAGGGGAAATGTTCTCACATTTTTGTAAAGATAGAAAGCTATGTCCCGGTCGGATGATTTGCTACACTGATTGTTTCCCCCAAGTGCTTTTTGTTTCTGTGAATCAGATGTGTAAATAAGGGGCCCTTTCCTCCCTCTTTCCTGTTCTTTATTCCTTCATTGGCACCGCTGGCTACTGCTTGCACCCCCTTAGAGACAAAGGAAACCACGGCTCGCCAAGGCCTCTGCTTCTGAGCTGCAGGGGCTGAACAGAGGCACAGTGGGCGTGTGGGTCATCGAGGGCTGGGGTGGGCCGAAGTGAGGGGGGTGACAATGACCTTTGGGAGGTCTGCATCCTTGGGAGCCCTGCACCCCTTCTCCCATGCCCGGTTGTGTATCTCCTGAACATCGAGCACTTGAATGGCCTCTTTGTAGCTTTGCAGAGGACAGAGGTCACGGGGCTGGGGTGGCAACGCTCAGAGCCGCCTCCATGAGCTTAAGGGAACCAGGGTGAACTGCACTCAGGGAGTTTCCCTCAGAACCAGCCCCTGCTGTCGGTGAGAGGGAAAAGCCACACTGCTAAGCAGCTGTGATTTTAGAGGTTTTGATCCAGGGGTTCCACTAGAGGCCAGCTCCTTCGCAGCGCTGAGCTGCTGCCGTGTCCTCAGCCTGCTGCACACAGGGCCAGGTGACAGCGGGTGACATGGACGTGGGCTCTTGAAGGCCTCGAAGTTAACGGAAGGGAGTTTTCTTGAGAGCAGGGCAGAGGCACGGATGAGTGGGCGCTGTTGGTTTCCGTGATTACCTCGCCCCTTGCCATTTTCCTTCTGTCTTTCACACCCTGAACATCCGTAAGAGTTTCTGCTGAAAACTGCAAAGTGAGAAACCTTTCTGTAGGGTGCGGCGGGGTCCCCAACAGCTGGCTCTGGCCTGTAGACAGAGCCAGCAGGAATCGTGCTGCAGGCCTGAGTGGGACGGATGGTTGGAGAGCGAGGAAGTGGGGTACAGGAACATGAGTGGTAGGAGCCCCTCTGCCTTGGTGACAGCAGAGCCCCCAGGCTGCAGTAAGAGGGCAGTGGGGACTGGCTCACGAGATGAAGCAACGTTGCCCGCTCGTCCCCAGACCCTGAGGTCCGCACGCAGGCACTGTGCTCGTCTGGCGCCAGCAGGACACCTCTTCTGTTTCCTGAGGCGAGTGGCAGGGCTCAGCCTCAGCCCACCCTGTTACTAGGGTTGGGAAGGAGTAAGACAGTCGTGCTTTATGAAAACAGAAACCTGCCCATTTGATGAAATACAAAGCAGCATAAGAAATGGGCGGATTTGGGCTCATTTTCTCCGAGAAGGGAAGAGAATGTGTGTCCCTGACTGCTCCAGTGTACCAAGTGTCTCAAATGCGTCTGTGTCTCCACCTGCCCCGGTAACCAGCAGCAGCTCCTCACTGCGCAAGAGAAGAAACTGAGGTGTGGGACAGGTGGGGGTGGGGGCAGCCGCAGATCTCACGCCTGGCTGCGCCCAGCACGCAGGTGGGCAAGCCAGGAACTCGGCAGGGTCTGTTTGCAAAACTCGGACAGAAATGGAGGAGGAAAACACGAACCACATGATTTTTATAAAAATGCTTTCACTTCCTCCTCCCATTTGAGTGTAGCTGGAGCACAGCTGTGTCCAGCCGTTTTCCTGTCACCACACGCTTCCAGATGTGGGGCCAGAGGAGGGCTCTGCCCAGCTCCAGCTGTGTGTCCCCTTGGAGTTACATCACTTGTTTTTCAGTTCTCCCTTTTGTTTCCTTCCTCCAGAGTCCAGCCTCGGGCTCTGGGTGGTGAGGTTTTTATCAAACAGATCTCAAGCTCCTTAGCCCAGGTGAGGCATCCCAGTTGCTTCCATAGTGAACACTTAGAACCCGCAGCGAGGCTGCTTCTCATCCTGTCTGGCAGGAGAAGACTGGGCCACAGGGGAAGGGCCAAGGTGCGTCCTGTGGCATGGCGAGGGCGATCTTGTGATCTTGTGTACCCTTTGGGAGTCGGACAAGCAGAGGGGTCTTTAAGCTTTTGAGCCCTTCTAGCAAAGGAGGAAACGCCCAGGTACAAAGCCACGCGTGGTGGTGCACACCTGTGATCCCAGCACTCTTGGGAGGCTGAGGCAAGCAGATTGGTGCGAGCTCGAGGCCAGCCTGGGCTGCATAGTGAGTTCACGCCAGCCTGAACTACACAGCAAGACACTATCTGAAAAATCCAAAAAAAAAAAAAAAGAAGAAAGTTAAGGCTGTGGAAACAGCCTTGTAGCAAAGACGAAACAGAGCCCCTGAGAATACACTGGTCCCAGCAACCCATGGGTCCCTGTCCTCGCTCTGCGGCACCATCCACAAGAGCATGTTGAGGACGCAGACAGGTGGCCCCCGCTGGCCCACCCAGCCCTGGGGTGACCCTCCGGCATCTGCTCACCCTGGCCTGCATGACTCAAGCTTTACTGCTCACTGCATTTGTCATTCCCCTCTGGAGACCAGTGGGGAGACGTCGAGTTTGTTACATAACCCAGCAGAGGCTGGAGGTGGAGACCCTCCCGGCTCCATTCCATCCAGTGCTGTCCAGCAGGCACCAGTCACCAACCCACGAGGGGACCAAGCTGCACGAGGGGCCCCGGCAGAGTTTTTAGTCTTACACAGAAATGGGGAGCTGGGACACTGCTCTGTGCCAGGCTTCTGTGCCTCAGCACAGCTGGGGGTGGGTGGGGTCAGCCTGGGCAGCCAGGCCCAGCTCCACCCGGGCCTGCAGGGCACCGGGACCCTGTGTAGCCACCCGGCATTCACAGAGATGCCCAGCCTCAGTCGACCTACGGCTCACCCTTCACTCTCCCTCCCGTGGCCCTGCCTGCATCCTCAGGGACAGCGGCGGGGAGGCAGCGGCCAGGATGGCCCAGTGAGCAGAGGGCAGCAGATGCCTGCCCCACCCGCAGGCCCATTCGCAAGTGTGTCCGGGTACAGTGTGGACAGACTCGGCATCCTGCAGACTGGAGACTAAAAATGTACGGAGCGGGCCAGGGATCTAGCTCAGTGGTTCTGGTGCCTGCCTCGAAAGTGCAAGGTCCCAAGTTTGATCCCCGGTACCAAAAAAAGAACAACAACAAAAAAACAAAGAATGTATGGAGAGTCTAGTTTCACGCAGTGAAAGTTTGTACGTTTTGCAATTAAAAATGTGTATGTTAGTAAGAACTCTCTGACTCTTGGGGTTTTTTTTTTGGTATTGTGGATCGAACTCAGGTCCTTGCAATTTCGCAACAGGCGGCGAAACCACTGAGACTCTTGGTTCTTTCATTCCTAGTCTTGTCCTGTTTATTGTCCCCCACAAGATGGGAGACTTCTGGCCACTGCCTGCCCAGGGAACAGGTCAGGGCCTCGGTTCTCAAAGGAAGGTAGCTGGGCTCACTCCAGCCCCCGCAGGCCATGGGCCACTCAGAGGGGAAGCTCACTGTGGATGGGAGTTAAGGCGTTCGTGTCCATATTTACTTATTCTCTGCAATTTCTGTTTTATGCGTGCACATGGTTTTGTGTAAATGTATAAACAGTGTTTAATATCCTGGGTCAGTATTATGTCTACACTGCGTGCCCACCGTGGACCTTTCCGTAATGAATATTCAGCCGTTCTCTCAGTGATGGTGAGTCATGGTCCGTATGATTATTTGGATTATACGCTAAGAAGTCTGGAGTTTATTTTTTAAATACATGTTTTTAGCTGGGTGTGGTGGCATATGTCTGTAATCACAGCATTCCGGGAGGCTGAAGCAGGAGAATCCCAAGTCCTAGCCCAGCCTGGGCAATTTAGCAACACCATCTCGAAATTAAAAAAAAAAAAAGAGGGATATAGCACAGTGGTAGAGCCTGCTTGGGTTCAATTCCCAGTACAGAAAAGAAATGACAAAATGTTCTCACTTGTTACAACACTAATATATGTTCTTTAGGAGATTCCACTCCATAGTTCTGTTCATTTGCCTGTTTGGAAACAGGACTTCAGCTCCCTCACCCGAGATTTTGGTTGGGTTCCACGTTCGAGGGCAGTGAGGAAGTCTGTTCCCAGTGTTGCCGCCTCAGCCCCTCCCAGGCATCTGATGCTGAGCGTGGAGACTCTTGTACCTGGGCCCCTGAGGCCCTCTCGCCCCTTCCTGAGTCCCTTCTTCCCACTCCGCCTCCTTTGCAGGATCTCCCTTGTCTCTGAACCAAACTCCTCCAGTCCTGCCAGGGCCGCCTCCTTCCCCTCCTCACACCTGCTGCCCACCACACATCACCCCAGTCTGCACGCCTGGTCCCTGCCCGCCCGAGGGAGGGTGGTCCTGGAGGCCCAGGTGCCCAGGGGGTGTCTTCGACCGAGCACCCGTGACCACGTGATCAGGGCAGGACCACACCCTGGAGGGTTCCGCCTCCTTGCTGCACTTCCAGCTGCACTGCTGCCGTCTGGGTTTAGCGCCTGGCTCCTTCGCTTGCTCTCTGATTCCTTCTACTCACACTTCCCACCACCTGCATCCTCCCTCCCGCAGCTGTCACAGAGATGGTTCTGAAGTGCAGGTCTGGTTGCCTCACCTCTTCTCTCCTTTGCCCCCAGGAGAGGCAGCCTCCTTCCGCTCCTACCCTCAGCCCCTGGTCCGCTGTAGCCACCTCTACTGGGCATAAGTTTCCAATGCATCTGGGTGCAGGCTTGGGTCCTGTGGCCAGGGTATCTGGCCAGGTTGGAATTGCCTCACCAAGTGGCTGCACCACTTCACATTCCTGCTAGTGACAAAGTGACAGCTATGGGTCCACCTCCTCACTAGTATTTGGTGCTCCCAGTGTTGGGGATTTGGGGCACCCAGGTGTGTGATGAAATCTTTTTTTTTTTTTTTGGTACCGGGGATTGAACTCCGATCCTTGAGCTTGCAGGGCAGGCATCGGAACCACTGAGCTAAATCCCCAGCCCTTATGACGAAATCTTACAGTGTGAATTTGCAGTGCCCTGGCAACATGATGCTGAACGTTTTTCCCGTGTGTCCTCTGTATATTCAGTGAGGTCCTTTTCCCCATTTTTTAATTGGGTTGTTTTCTTACTGAGTTTTAAGAATTCTTTGTACACTGGGACAGCAATCCTTTATCAGATGTGTCTTTGGTGAATATTTTCTCCAGTCTGTGGCTCGTCTTCTTGTTCTCCAGGAATCATCTCTTCCAGAACAGAAAGATTTAATTTCCATGAAACGCAGTTTATCAGTTGTTTTCTGCATGGATGGAGCCTTCGTTGTTGCATCTAAAAACTCATCTAGGGCCGGGGATTTAGCTCAGTGGTTTTGCTGCCTGCTGCGCAAGCGCAAGGACCCGAGTTCGATCCCTGGTACCAAAAAATAAAAAATAAAAAAAATAAAAACTCATCTGTGTACCGAAGGTCACCCAGACCTTCTCCTGCTACGTTACCATTTATGGTTGTGTAGTTCTGCCTTGTACATCAACCCTGAAATCCATTCTGAGTTAATTTCCGTGAAAGGTTTGAGGTCTGTGTCAAGATTCATTTATCTGCCTTTTGGAACAGATTTCTACCTGTTCTGGCAGCATGTGTTGAAGTGTCGGTCTCTGCCTGTTTCTTGCCTCTGTTCCTTGCCAGGCACCCTTTACTGTAGGATTATGCGGGTCTAGTCAGGGTTCTGTCTCGTGCTCCACTGATTATCGTCTCTTCTAGGAAGGTGCGTTGGTTGCTGCAGCTCTGTAGTGAGCCTTGAGGTCAGGAAAAGCACCTCCATCCTCTGCTGCCCTTCAGTGTTGAGTTGGATATTTTAGGTCTCCCATCCTTCTGCGTCCCCTCTCTTTTCTGCAGTCCTGGGGACTGAACCCAAGGCCCCCACACAACATAGAGACATCCCCAGCCCTTTGGATTTTTATGTTGAGGCAGAGTCTCCCTAAGTTTCCCAGGCTCGCCTTAAACTTGTGATCCTCCTTCGGCCTCCCAGGTATTGTGTAAGCTTTAGTTTGTCACTAGCCACAAAGATAAGTTGCTGAGATGTTGATTGGGATCACACTGAATGTGTAGATCAAGTTCCATCCAGGCAGACTTCCTTAAAACATATTTTTATTTGATTATTTTTTGTGGTTCTGGGGATGGAGCCCAGGGTCTTGCAGAGGCCTGGAAAGTGCTCTACTGCTGAGCTATTAGAATTCTCTTCCCTTGATAATGTTTTTGAGCGCCGCTGTCCACTTTTGCTTAGTTTGTGTTCCATTGTATTGCTGCACATTCCCCCAGCGTGACTCATCCTTCCCAATAAATCAACCTCCCAAGCCTCTAGATACCCTGCCGAAGACAGATATTTCCCCACTCTTATTTTTTCAGAGTAATGACTTTATTTTTGTAAAAATGGTGCATTCTTCATATAAAGAATGAAGTTTGAGTGATCTTATGAAAACCTCCACCCAGAAACAGCCACTGACGTTAGGTGAACCATGTTCTTGGCATCTCTGGGACTTCCTGGCTGGGAGGCCAGATAGAAATGCTTTTATTGAAATGAGACCAATCATTCTACTTAAAAAATAAGCTGTAAGTCTAATGTTATGTGAAAAAAAGAAAATTCAAGTAGATGTTTCTTCTCCAGAGAGAATATTGGTTCCTAAACAAAGCTAACATTTATGTGAAGAGTAAGAAACTAGAATTGTTCTTACTAAGGTTTACATTTTATTTTTTATTTTATTTATTGGGACTGGCTCTTGGTGTGTAGCCTAGGCTGGCCTGGAACTCACAGAGATCCTCCTGCCTCAGCCTCCCAAGTGGCATGTGCCACCATGCCCAGCAGGTTGCCTTTTAGATAACATGGTTCAAGGCTCTATGGATAAGGAAATAGCTTGCTTTTTCTCCCATCTCTTCCACTACTTCTCAATTTGTATGCATCCTCCTGCTATTGACACTGCAAAGTCTATGTGTTTCCTTCTGGATTTGAATTTGTGATCATCCTGTCTCAGCCTCCCAGAGTGCTGAGATTACAGGCATGCACTAAACGGGCTGGTTTTGGGGGGGGGGGTTGTTTTTGTACCAGAGATCGAACTTGGGTCCTTGCGCTTGCGAGGCAGGCGGCAAAACCACTGAGCTAAATCTCCGGCCCTAAATGGGCTGCTTTTAAACTTTTTTTTTTTTGGAGACGTCTCACTATGTAGTATAGGCTCCCCTTGAACTCACTATGTAGCCCAGGCTGGCCTCAAACTCACCACAATCCTCCTGCCTCAGCCTCCCAGAATGCTAAGATCACATGCCTGTGCTGCCACACCAAGCTCTGTTTTTATTTTTTTTTTTTTTTTGGTACCAAGTATCGAACTCAGGACCTTGCACTTTCAAGCCTGGCACTGGAACCACTGAGCTAAATCCCCAGCCCGTTTTAAAACTTTTGATTGGCTGGATTTCATCACCGAGAAAGGGTCAACGATGGCTCACAATGCTGTACTGTCTGTGCCCAAGAGTGTCCTGTGCTCTTTTATACTTGGCTGAGCTACACATCTGTCTTAGTCACTTTCTCATCACTGAGACCCACAATTCACAGGAGGAAAGGAGAATACACACACACACACACACACACACACACACTCACACACCTCGGCTCACGAACTCGATTCTCTCCATAATTCTGGTCAACATTGAGCCTAAGGTTGAATTTGATTCAGTTCTCATCCATGTGGGGTTTGTTCTCTGTCTAGCTTACTTCATTTGGCATAATGTCTTCAACATTCAGCCTTGTAGGGCTGGGGATTTAGCTCAGTGGTTTTGCTGCCTGCTGCGCAAGCACAAGGACCCAGGTTCGATCCCTGGTACCAAAAAAAATAAAAATAATTTTTAAAAAAAGATTCAGCCTTGTAATGTGTGTCCAATTCTTCTTCCTTTTGAAGGTGGGACGATGCCGCACTGCTCGTAGTAACCCTGCTTCGTTACCCTGTCCCCTCTCTGACGATGTTTGCATCGTTCTCCTCTTCTGACTGCTGTGACTAATGCTGCTATGAAACGCAGCGTGCACTTGTCTCTCTGGGTTTACACGTACCTAGAAGTACAACCTCTGCATCAGTTTCCTGTGTTTGATTATTTGAGGGACTGTTACCTGTCTTCCTCAGGGGCCACACCGTTTAATATTTGTACCAGCAATGCACGAGGGTTTCAGTGCCATCACCATGCCAATATCTGCTATTTCCTGTTTCTGGCTTTTGTTGTTTTTTAATAATAGCTATTCTAAGCCAGGTATGGTAGTGCACACCCGTAATCCCAGCACTCTAGGAGGCTGAGGCAGGAGGATTATCAGTTGGTGCCCAGCCTTAGCAACGTAATGATTGAGTGGGACACTGCCTCAAAATAAAAAAAAGGACAGGGATGTAGTTCAGTGTAAACCCCTGAGTTTAGTGCCCAGTACCCCCCTCACACACACACACGCCCATTCTAATGGGTGCAGAGTGGTGTCCCTTGTCCCTTGGTGCTTTGTTTCCCTAATGACAATGACACAAGCCTCATCTCCTGGGCCACGTGTCTGCCTTCTGTGGAGATATGTCTATTCAAGCCTGTTGCCTGGTTCTTAATGAAGTTGTTTATTTATTGTCGTTGAGTAGTAAGAGTTCTTCATATATTCTAGGGATGGATTCCTTGTCAGACGTGTGAGTTGCACATATTCTCCCCCCTTCTGTGCATTGCCTTTTCACTTTGAGATGGAAAAGTTCCAACTTTTAATGAAGCCCAGTTTATTGATGCTGTCTCTGCTTTTGGGGTCGTATCCAGAAAATCCTTGTCTCATGCAATTCCATGAAATGTCCCCACTGTCTTCTCCTAGGAGAAGTAGCAGCCTTTACGGGGAGGTCTTTGATTCATTTTGATTTGAGCCTTGTATGTGGTGAGGGTCCCGCTTCATTTTTTTGTACATGGATGCTCTCTTTTCCCAGTCTTGTTGGAAGGACTGTCCGTCCCCCACCAAATAGTCTTGGCACTTTGGCAGAGACCATTAGAACACATGACCTTTACATCCAGGCTCTTTGTTCTGTTCCCTTGGTCTAAATGTCAGTAACCAGACTGTTTAATGACCGTAGCTTTGTAGTTTTGCTGCTGCTGCTGCTATTTTTCAGTATAAGAATGGAACCCAGAGCGGGGATCAAACTCAGGACCTTGAGTTTATGAGGCAGGCACGGTGCCACTGAGCTAAATCCCTGGCCCTAGGAACTCAGAGCTTTCTACTTGCTCTGGCACCCAGCTTGTCTTTGAGTCAGGGCTCTCGCTAAGCTGGCCAGGATGGCCTCAAACTGTCTCCTGCCTCAGCCTCCTGAGTAGCTGGGACTTCTCCCAAGTACTAGAGTGCGGCACCATGCCCAGCTGTGGTTAAGTTTCGACATCAGAAAGAGAGAAGCTTCCAAATTTGCTTTTTCAAGATTATTTTAACTAGTGAGGTCTCTTGAGGTTCCCTATGAAATTTTAGGATGGATTATTCTGTTTCTGCACAAAATGTACCACTGAGGTTTTGATAGGGATGGCAGTGAATCTATAAATTAGGTACCATTGGCAACTTGTAACATGAGCATGTTTTCTAACCCGTAATGGTGTCTTTCCACTTACTGGGGTCTCTGATTCCTTTTAGCAATATTTTATAGTTGTCCATATATATGCTTTTGCCTCCTTGCTAAATTTATTCCTAAGAATTTTACTCTTTTTTGTTGCTGTTATAAATGGAATTGCTTTCTTAATTTTCCTTTTAGACTATTCACTGTGAGTGAATAGAGAGAACTGGGATTTGGGGTGCCGAGTCTGTAGCCTGCACCTCAGTGGACCTGTCAGTTTTGTCCCCACCCGGAATCCAAGCTGTTTTGTTTCTCTCCTTCCCTGGAGGCCTCGGCTCAGAGCTTACTGAGCTCCCCCAAAGCCAGCCTCTACTCGAGGCTGGTTCACTGAGCTGCCAGCTGCGAGGGTCCCACCTGCTGTCATGAGCACAGGCTCCAGCCTCCTTCGTCACAAAGCCGAGCTCGATCCTTGTCCCCGAGAGGTCACTAGGCACACGCACTTGGCTGCTACGCCCATTTCCGTCCGTACCCTCCTCAGACTCCTCCTCCATTGGCTCACTCAACCCAGTGCGCTTCTGCTTCCCTCTCCTCTCATTCTTTTTGGTTTTTTGAGACAGGGTCTCACAATGTCCAGGCTGGCCTTGATGTATGTAGCCCATGATGGCCTTGAACTTGTGGTGATTCTCCTGCCTCAGCCTCCCAGTGCTGGAATTCCAGGTGAGCAGAGGGTCCCAGCATCCCATTTCTGAATGAGTACCTCAAGCAATGCTTTCTCAGGGCACCAGAAAGCCAAAGTGGTCAACAGCAGGGCGGGAAACACTGGGGCCCTCCTCCCTGGGGCACTGGAGCCAGCCAAGGCCATGCAGTGCGAGGCTGTCTGCTGTGGGATGCCAGATGCCACGCCGGTCCCTGGGAACACCACCCCTCATTCCGTCCTCCCACAGCCCTTTGAGGCAGATGCCGGTACTGGGCCTTACTCGGTTCTGCAGGGAACACGGGGGGGGGGGGCAGGCCCAGCCTTTACCCCCTGCCTCCTCTTCCTCCGTCCTTGTACCTGCCCCAGTCCTCAGGAAGCAGGGCTGTGTGGCTTCCTCTTCTCTGTCCCCAGCACCCAGTGGGTGTGACCTGGGGCTGCCAACCACGACTGTGCAGATGTTCCTGGGCTCTGGGCCCCAAGGACCTGCCTACAGCTGGGGGAGGACTGCAGGACTCACACAGTGCTTGGCCTGAGCCACGCAAAAGAGAATGGAGGCTGGAGCCAAGGGCTCCGGGGGAGTGGACTCCACTCTGGTCGGGACCCAAGGCACCGGCGCCGCCCAGACACTGTGAGCTGGGCTGGGCCTCAGATGGCAGCCGGCCGGGGAGGTGCCGGCGTGGGAAGGGCTTTAAATCCTGCCGCCAGACCCGGGCGTGGGAGAGGCGGAGAGGGCCAGCCACCATGGGTCCCTGTGGCCTCCAGGCGCTGCTGCTGCTGCCTCCACTGCTGCTGCTGGTCACCACAGGCCCCGCTGCGGCCCTCAAGGAGGATGAGAGACAGCTGATGGTCCAGCTACACAACCTCTACCGCGCCCAGGTATCCCCGCCCGCCTCGGACATGCTGCGGATGGTGAGTGCGGGCGTCTGCCGCCACCCTGCGGCCCCCCAGACTCCCTGACATTGCATCTCAGTCCCCCAGGCAGCCCCTTGCACAGGTGGGAAGACCGAGGCTCAGTGATGCACGTGCCTGGGAAGGGACACCACGCAAGGGGCCTCGGAGGCCCTCCAGGAACATGGGGGGCAGGACAGGAGGGAGGTGCTGAGAGCATGACCGGAAGCAGAGGGGCGCTGCACCCCACAGTGCCAGCTCTGCCTTGTCACCAGTGAGACCTGTGAACCTGGGACAAGTCCCGTGACCTCGGTCACTCTCATTTCTCGTCTGTGAAATGGAGGCATGATTTGACTTACGTGTGTATCAGCATGGACCGAATCTCTCAGATTGTGTGGGGAGGGGACTGCGTCCAGAAAATAGGAAATGCGGGCCAGGGATTTAGCTCAGTGGTGCCGCCGCCTGCGCCTGCCTCGAAAGCCAAGGATCCGAGCTCCATCCCTGGTACCAAACCGGTGAGTGGGGCGGCAGCGTGGAGGGCGCATGCGCTCCTGTGCGCAGAGGGCGGGAGCCACATCATAGAAGAGGTCACCTCTGCCAGGCAGGGAGGGCGCTCCAAGGGTGGCTGGGCAGGAGGTAGAGGGGATTCTCCCCCTCCTGCCCCTCAGGTGGCCTGGGCTGCTGTGGGTGGCAGGAGCCGAGACCAGGGTGGGGTCTCAGGACCTCAGCCCTAACCTGGGGCCAGTCCCTCAGCCTGGGGTCCTGGGCCCTCTTCCTTCAGAGGCCCCCTGACTGGTGTGAAGGTGGCTGTGGCGACCCTGCTGGAGGGGACCTGTGGACTGCACCCATCCAGCACTGCTGTGCTTGGCCACTGGGAGCCCTGATGCCAGCGCCAGCTCTGCCAGCAGCTCCCTGACTGGGCCCGGGTGCGCTGTTGGGGCTCTGTCTGCAGGCCCTGATGCGCTAAGGTCTGGCTGGCTGAGGCTGAGAGCTTGTGACTTTGAGGACGTGAGGAAGAGGTCTCCAGAGAGGCGGGTGCATGGGACAGGGGTGGGGGAGGACCCCAGCTGTGCCGAGCAGACTGGAGCCGGCAGCCTGGCTTCCCGTCTGGCCTCTGCCTCTTGTCGCTGTGTGACCTCCGCCCTCGGTCCCGTCTGTAAGGAGGGGATGATGACACAGCAGCTCCCTGTGGGCCACTGTAGGGTTACATGGGTAAGTGCTCGTGGCCAGGGCACGGGAGATATGGTTAACCCTCCCTGAGGGGATGGGCCCACGGCAGGGTGGGCTCCCCTCTCCCTCGGCCGCCACCACTGTTACCTCCCAAAGGCTCCATGGTCCTTAAAGCATATGGCACCAGGGATCGAACTTGGGTCCTTGTGCTTGCGCAGGAGTCGGGGAAACCACTGAGCTAAATCCCCAGCCTGGGTTCCGGTTTTGTACGCAGGGACTCCTAGATAGCCCCTACCTGTTTCCAGCCTCTGGGCCCATTGAACTTTGCTACCAGAGTGAACAATCTAACGTGTGGGTCTGACCCTGCTCAAGATCCTTCAGTGGCTCCCACTGGCTCCCAGCACCTCAGGGTACAAGTCCAGCCCCAGAAGGCTGTGTGCCCTGCCCTGTCACTCCCGTCTCCTTGCCCACTCTCCCGCTGCCCTTGAGCAAGTGGAACAGTTGTCTCTGCCAGGCTGTGCTTCGCAGCTCCAGGCCTCGCTGTGTGCAGGGGGCCTTCCACCCTCCTTCTAACAAAGCTCAGTGTCCCCTCCTCTGGCCTTGGCCTGGGCCAGATGGCCCTGCCAGGTGGCCCAGCATGAGTCCTCACTGCCCATGCCCCTTACTACAGGGTGGCACTTGATTTGATGGCCATATGCCTTTGGGCTTCTCGGTCCCTGCTGTTGCCCGGGGCTGCACAGTGCCCAGGACTACTGAGAGGGAAAGGGTGGTGGCTGTGCGGCCGGTGTGGGCAGTGCTGTGACTTGGACTCCACAGGACGCTGCAGTGGGGCACTCCGAGTGTGGTCGGGGAAGTTACCGCTGGGCTCTGTGGGGACGTTGGAACTTGTCTTGGTCACCAGTAGCTGACAGATACCTGTTCAGCCCCTGCACCATGTCCAACACTGGGGTCAATCGAGCTCACGGTGCCCCCCAAGCCTCAGGTCCTCTGAGACACCTGATGCTTTCCCCCCACCCCACCCCGAATCTCCCACTGTTGCCAGAGTTGAGAGAACTTCAGTGACACGGGACGGAAATGTCCAGAGGGCGACGACAGTGGGGCCATTCCACCCCAAGTTCCCATCCGCACTCCGGGCAGCTGCTCCAAGCCTGAGTGGGTGGGGAGGGGGCAGATGCCTCTTTCCGGGCCACCCCAGCCCTGCTGCTTTATGGGCTGTCTGGCTCTTGAAGCCGAGTGCACCCCAGAGGGGGGAGCGAGAGCCGCTGCCAGGCTATCGCTTCCAGGAGAGGCCAGGGACGATGGTTAATGGGGTCCAGGCGCCCTTTGTCCTCGGGGGCGATGCCTTGGTCACCCCCTCCCTCCTCCCTTTTCTGTCCTCGGGGACCCAGCGCCTCAGACCCCCTCCTGCAGCTCACCTGAGGCCCCCCTGGAGAAGGTGGGGTTGTCCTGGGAGGGGAACCTGGACAGCGGATGGGTGTGGAGGGACCCCTGCCCCCATGAGTGGGAGCTGAGAGGGGTGAAGAGGTGCGGGCCCCTCAGCAGGAGAGGAAAATGGACCCAAAAAACAAGCCCACAACCAGGCATCTGGGGATGAATAACGGCCGTCACAAATGCATCTCGTTCAGGCCTCACCACCTCGAGTCAGAAAGGTTGGGCCATCTGCCCCACACCTCTCACCCACGGCCCAGGTGCCCCCAGGAGCCTGCAGGAGCCGGGCTGGGTCGCAGGTCACGGCGGGGTCCCCAGACTGCGTGCCCCGCCCCTCTCACCCACCGCCCCGCCCCGCCCTGCAGCGGTGGGACCCGGAGCTGGCCGCCTTCGCTAAAGCTCACGCCCAGAAGTGTGTGTGGAGCCACAACAAGGACCGCGGGCGGCGGGGCGAGAACCTGTTCGGCATCACGGACGAGGGCCTGGACGTGCCGCTGGCCGTGGAGGAATGGCACCGAGAGCGCCAGCACTACAACCTCAGCGCCGCATCCTGCGCCGCGGGCCAGATGTGCGGCCACTACACGCAGGTGCGTCCCGCCTCCCTCCTAGTGGCAAACGCCCCCGGTTTGGCTCTCGTCCCTCGCCCTTGCTTTTTTTTTTGAGACAGTCTTGCTATGTAGCCCAGGCTGGCCTCGAACTCTTGCCCGTCCTGCTTCAGCCTCCCGAGTGCTGGGTTTACAGGCATGCACCATGACCCCTGGCTCGCTGTTGCTCTTTTTTACATTCATCATGATGCCTAATTCTCAATCTCTAATCTGCCAGGGACCAATAAAGCACATAGGCGATCTTGTGTAATTTTTGCTTTAAAAAACTATGCAAGAGAATATATCTGAGCCAGGCGTGGTGGCGCACGCCAGTAATCTCAGCACTGGAGAAGCTGAGGTGGGAGGATCGCCAGGAGTTCAAGGCCAGCCTGGGCTACATAGCGAGTTTAAGGCCAGCCTGAACTTCATGGTGAGACCCTGGGCATCTGCCCAGCTCCACCCAGGGTACCCTGTGGGCTCCCTTCTGCCTGGAAGCTGATTTAAGCAGAAAGCCGGGATGCAGAAAGGGGAAGCTGGTGGTTTTGCCTCAGGGCACGGCATGCAAAGATTTAAATTCTGTACTTAAAACTGCTCTCAGTCTACCAGCGAGGAGAGAGCCCCCACTCCTAAAACGGGCAGAGCAGGACCCTGCTTAGTGGCAGTGTGGGGAAAGGTCTGCTTTCAAAATACCTCTTCCTCTCCTCTTCACCGGACTTTTCTTGTAGCTGATGTCTAGGTGTCTACCATTTGAGATTCATTTCTTTGCATATGCCTGTGGGTTAAAATGCAAGGATGTACCACCTGCCTCGCAAGTGCAAGGTCCCGAGTTCGATCCCCAGTACCCCAAAACAAAACAAAACAACAACAAAAAAGCAAGGATGTCTAAGAAGAGCCCACGGGAGACACTGATGAGGGCTTCTCAGCCCTGGAGCTGACGGAAGGCTCAAAGAGGGAAAGAGGCCTGGGAGCCGGCCTTCGTTCGTCACCGGGTTAGACTGGTGGATTTGGATCTCACAGCTGGAGGGCGCCTCCCTCCCCACCACAGGAGGCAGGTGCAGGGCAGCGGGAAGAGGCCACGCCTCTGGGCTAAGCGCTGGCCTGGCCCTGCTCCCTCCAGGTGGTCTGGGGCAAGACCGAGAGGATCGGCTGCGGCTCCCACTTCTGCGAGACGCTCCAGGGAGTGGAGGAGAACAACATCCACCTTCTGGTGTGCAACTACGAGCCCCCGTGAGTGCTGGGCGCCCAGCTGGGGCGGGCTGCTCTGTGCGGTCGCCGGCCAGAGCCCGGGCGCGCAGGGTGCCCAGCAAGCCGGGCGGGAGGCTGCAGACGCAGGCGCGGGCAGACGGGGGAGGGGCAGGGTGGGTGGGCCGACCCCCAGCAGCGACCTTGCCTCCCGCAGGGGGAACGTGAAGGGCGAGAGGCCCTACCGGGAAGGGACGCCGTGTTCCGAGTGTCCCCCAGGCTACCGCTGCGAGAACGCCCTGTGCGGTGAGCTAGGGGCCAGCGCGGGGGCGGGGTCCGATCATGGGGCGGGGCACGGAGGGGCGGGGCATGGAGGGCGGGGCGGGCGGCGCCGATTGGCTGTGGAGCCCCTGGACGCCTGGACCGCAAGCGCCCCGTAACTACGGAGGGCAGCGCCAGTCCCCAGGCTCCGAGCTCGGTGGGCGGGGCCAGGTGGAAAGGCCCGGGGTGGGCTTGGCCTCGCGGGTGAGGTGGACGGGGTCTGAGGGGCTCAGGAAAAGGTCTTGGAATACGTGCGGAGAAGCGTGGCGGGGGCGGGGGAGAAGCAGCGGTCGGTGACGATTGGTGACGGCAAGCAGCCTTTCTTGTCAATGAGGGAAACTTCCGCAGCAGAGGCGAACGTAGGGGCGGCGGAGGGCGAGGGAAGCGTGTGCAGTGCCAATGCCAGGCCTTGTCTATCTCCAGAACCCATCAGAGCCCCGGAAGAGGAGCAGGACTTGCCTCCCCTGTTGACTGAGGTCCCACCCACCGTGAGGGCTGAAGCCTCGGACCCTGGGAAAACCCTCACTCGTTCCCTAGCAACAGAGAGGCCTCGCTCCTCGCCTAGCTTCTCCGTGCCCAGGGTCTCGGGTTCCCTAGCAACGATGGCCCTGCCCGCGGTAGGAACAAAAGTCCCACCTTCCTTAGCAACGGAAGAGCCCGTCTCCATGGCAATAGAGACTCTACCTTCCCTAAGCTCGGCGGTCCCTTCCGTTTCGGCCACTCCCACCCTACTTTCCTCGAAGGATGGGCCAGGGGTCCTTCCCGGATCCACCCGTGTTCCTGTCCTGAGAGCTACCGAAGAGGTAGCCCCCAAGACAAGCGCATCCCCCGCGAGACCAGAGAGCTCTCGGAATCCCAAGGGGGAGCTCCTGCCCCTTGCCCTGGACGAGGTGGAGGCGGAGGCGGAGTTGCCCCCTTCCAGTGAGGTCTTGGCCTTCATTCCGCCAGCCCAGGGAGAGGCTGAGGCGGAAGCCGAGTTGCCTCCTCCCAGTGAGGCCTTGGCCACAGTTTTTCCAGCCCAGGCCAAGCCAGGTGAGCTGCAGGCCACACTGGACCGCCCGGGGCACGCCAAGTCCCTGCCCAGTCTCCCCAGTGACTCTGCCTCTGACACTGCCAAGGCTGGGCGGACCCTGGCTCTGCACTCCTCCTTCCCAGGTAAGGCCCGAGGCTCCCTACCTTCCTTCCTGGCTCCAGAAAGTCGGCGTCCTGCCCGGCGCAGGCAGTGCGAAAGGGAGCATGCGCGCTCCGAGTAGGCGCTTTCTGTTCTGCTGCCAGGCCCTTGCGTGGTGGTGGGTGGGACCTCAGGCATAGCTGTCTCCAGCCTGAGGCCAAGTCCCTTCCTTCCCACAGGTGCAGAGGGCCCTGAGAGCCCTGGCGGGGAGCCGAGGCAGAGCACCGGCCACGCGAGGACCCCCGCCCTGGGATTACTGCTGCTGGCTCCCCTGCTGTGGGCTGGACTCCTGTGAAGGGGACACCACTCTGCACGAGGCCTGGTGGGCGGACCCAGGCTTCACGCCCACTCTGGACTGTCTTCCTCCAATGAGAGGCCACAGCTCCCTGGGCAGGTCCTGCTCTGTGGCCTGGCAGCCCCCTTCACCCCAGCTCTGGCCAAGTTCGAGGCACCAACCTTGTCCCCTGGGGAAGTCACCCGCGGCTGGCTGCAGGCTGTTCTGAGCAGCATCCCGGGACACATGTCCCTGGTCTCGCTGTCCTGTGGCCACGGGACTGCGCTCCCAGGCTTCCCAGAACAACCTGGCTCCGACAAGCCCCAGGCCCCTTCCCCCACGCACCAAGCCCAGGCCTGTCCCCAGTGCCTCCTGCCTTCCCAGTGCAGAGCCCCACAGCCCGGACACCGTCTCCCTAGCCACGTCCCCGGCCCCTCCAACAAGCTTCTTGGCCCGAGGTGTGTGAGGGGCAAAGGCTGCCGGCATGGGGACCTGGACCCTTCCTGGCGCCCGCACCCGAGTCCTCGCTGGGGGTACTGAGGGACAAGGCCCACTCGAGTGAGGTTCTAGGGAAGGGAGGCAGGGACCAGGGAGGGCAGCAGCCCTGACTCCTGAATAAAGCCTGTGCGAGAGCCTGGAGTTAGTGCTTGTGAGGCGCCCGGGAGCCCAACTCCTCCGCTCCTTCCCCAGCCCCCCCCCCCCTTCACAGGCTGCAGGGGGAGAGCCGGGCCTCATGGGTCCCCAGTGGTTGCTGGGCTCAGGGTCAGGAGCAAGGCTTGGGACAGGACCTTTTCACAGGGTGCTGCGCCCCGGGCCCTTTAGGGACTCGGGGTCAGAACTGTTCTCGGCCGGTCTTTGCCAACCCTAATGCTTGGGTGAATCAGGTATTTATTGCCTCTTTCACTTAGTGTCTTTTCAAGGTTCACCTATGCAGCATGAATGGGAACTTGCTTTTTATTGTCAAGTCATACTCTATTCTGTGGAACACAGTATATTCATTCATCAGTTGGTAGACACTGGAGTTTCCCCTCCTGATTGGCAACAGTGTGGCTGTAAACACTTCCTGTGCTGGTTTTGGTACGAACACACATTTTCAGTTCACTTGAGCATACACACAGGGTGGAATTTCTGGATCCTATGGTAACGGACTTCCGGAGGAACCACCAGACATTTTCACATTCTCACAGGAACTACCTGGGGGTTTGTCAGTATCCTTGCCAACACCTGTCTATTTTTCCGATCAGCAGCAGGCATCCTACCAAGTGTGAAGCACTATCTCACATTTCAATTTGCTTTTTCTCCTGACAGCTAATGATGCTTAACATCTTTCTGCATGCTTACAGGCTACTAGAATATCTTGGAGACATGTCTGTTCACATCTTATGTATTTATCTTTTTATAATTGAGTTGTAGAAGTTCTTTATATATTTGAGACACAAGTCCCTTATTAGATATGATTTACAAATATTTTCCATTCTGTGGCTTGTCTTCAGTTTTTTTGATGATATCCTTTGAGTACAAAAGTTTGTAATTTTGATGTCCATTTGTTACTTATGCTTTTGGTGTCATACCTGAGAAACCACTGTCCAATCCAGGGTCATAAAAATGTCTGCCTGTTCCTTCTAAGTTTTATCTTATTTCTTAAAGTCCTGTTCTTTATATTTTTACTTTTTATATGGGATATGAGCTAGGGATCCAACTTCATTCTTTTGCCTGTGAGTATCCAGTTCTAGATTTTTTTTTTTTTTTCAAAGACAGGGTCTATGTAGTGCAGCCTGTCCTTGAACTCATGGCAAGCTTCCTACCTCAGCCTCCTAAGTGCTGGGAATATAGCATGCACCACCAGGATATTCTTTACTGTCTTTGTACCCTTCTTGAAAAATCACTTGACCATGAGTGTGTTTATTCTGAACTCTAGTTCTATCCCACTGATCTGTAAGTCTATCCTTATGCCACTGCAGTCTTCATCACTGGAGCTTTGTATTTAAGTTTTGGATTTACTCTGTTTTTTTTCAAGCCTGGGTTGGCTAATCTGGGTCCACTGAATTTCCATGTGAATTTTAGAATCAGCTTGTCAAATTTCTTCCAAGCCAGCTGAGATTTTGATAGGGATTATGTAATATACAGTACCACTCTTTGTGTTAAATTATCTATGAACATGGGATGCCTCACCACTTTACTTAGCCCTTTAATTTCTTTCAATGTTTTATAATTCTTGTTAAATTTATTCCTATTTTTTGGTGTTATTGTAAATCAAACTTTTATTAGTTTCATTGTTCAGTATATAAAAATAACTTATCTATCTAGTATTCTATAAGTATCCTTGCTGAACTTTTTTTACTAGTTATATAGCTTTTAGTGGATTCCTTAGGATTTTTCCATATATCACATCGTGTTTTGCCTCTTCCCTTCTGCAGTTTTCAGTTTTTACTTCATCTTCTCACCTAGTTATCCCACTTAGACCCTGCTATACAAGACTGGACAGAAGTGACCAGGGTGGACATCCTCATCTTGTTCCTGACCTAGGAGGATTCTATTCTGTAATGTAGCAGTCAATCTAATCTTAGCTGTGAGTTCTTTCCTAGTTGCTACTTCTCTGGTCAGAAAGTTCCCCTCAGTTCCTAGTCGTGCAGGATGCTGACTTTTGTCAGAGGCCTTTTCTGTCACTGATGACCATGTGGCCTGTGCTTTGTCCTAAGGGGTGCATGACACGGACTGGTCCTGGCATTAGAACAGCAGCATTTCTGGGGAGCTCTCTCCTTGGGCCTCTGGCGGTGCTCAGGAATGGGGCCCTCAGAGCTCTCTCCTGGTTCTGTGGTAGTGCTGCTGCCTGCTGGAAAGCAAGACCGTCTGTCCAGTCCTCAGGAAACCTGTCCCTTGGAAGATCCCAAGATCAGGCACGAGGGTCTGGGAAAGTTTAGCTTTTGGGAAATACAAGGACACAGGGCACGGTATCCCTGTGACAGATCTGCAGGTGGTAGTAAGATGGGCGGAGGAGGAACGCAGCACAGGCGACCAGCGTGGGGAGGGACCCCCAGCACTGCCGCATGGCCCCTGGCCATCTGGGAGCTGGCACAGGGGCCGGGATTGCAGGAGGAGCCCATCGCGGGCTACCACTCCTGCCTCACCCCATCAGAGGCCCTGGCACCTCTGCCCATCAGCACAAGCTCTGCCAGGAGGAAGTGACTGGCTCCCATAGGGACCTTGCCATTCCCGTCACCCCTCCTGCTGACAGCTCTGCTCCATCCCCAAGCCTACCCCACCCACCCTCAGATCAGAGCCCACCCCGAGGTGGACTGAGTCCCAGGACTGAGGGACACCCCGAAAGCGGAACCCCTAGGTGTTACTTGCAGAGAGCAAGAGGCAACCCCACCACAGCCCTGCCAGGCAGCCACTCCAGTATCTGGGGGTCCTCACTTTAGAGGGGCTCCTCAGGGCCTGCTTCTTTCAGACTTCAAAGATACAAGCGTCCTGAATTTCAGAGCCACAGGAAGTAATGCAAAAAGAGGGTTCAAGGGTACACCAACACGAAGACGTTAACCCCAAAACAGTGGTCGGCGCTGTGGAAAAACACATGGGTAGAGAAAGGCAACGGGGCCATGAGAGATGCCCTCTGGGGACGGAGACCTGCGTCCTCTGAAAGATGGTGCCACGGAGGCCAGGCCCACTCACTCGTGTGCCCCCCCCCCCTTCAGCTGTCCGAGGAGACCTTCCTAGGAAGGGCAGAGGCCCAGCACTGTCGCTGTCACAACATTCACACGGGATCGGAGCTCCTCGGCTCAGCTGTCCCTTGGCCACCAGGAAGGCAGAACTGCCGAAGTGTACTAGAGGCTCCCTAAGGGGGACTAGAAACCCCACCTGGAAGGGACTCACGGCAAAGTTGCCAGGCCCCCTCTTAGGAGCCAGGGCAGAGAAACCTTTGGGGGACCCCAGCTGGACCTCAAAACATAGGGAGTTCTGCCTGTTCAAGATGCCAGTACTGGGCAGAAGCAAGTGGAAGGGGCTCTGTCCCTTCCGCTGTAACCCTGTGGCCACTGCACCCACTGATTCTGAAACCTAGAGAGGTCACTTTCAAAAGGTGCCTGAGGGTTTATACCTGGATGGCCCCCCAAAGCCTCACGTGCTCACGGGCACGGCTTCTGGAAGGTGACTGGGTTGGGTGGGGGGGGGTTACCGCGGGACTTGCTCTTAGGAGCCAGGAGCCCGGTCAGCCCTGGGGGCGTGGCCTGGAAGGGCTCCTCCCTCCCGCTCCTCCCTCTCCCTGCAGCCCACGCGCTATGGGGTGAGTGGTGAGCCGCTGCGGGGAGCCTCGGCCGCGCCTTCCTACCTGGGGAACTTGCGGACCATGAACTGAAAGAGCTGAAATAACCCTCTCTCCCTTCAGTTCTGGGGGTCAGCACTGTGTCAGCAACACGAAAGTGACTTGGCCAGTGCTGCTTTGAGAAGGGCTCTTTCTGAAAGGTCTCCTTCCAGTGAGAGCTCGAAGCACCAGCTGCCAGTGCACGGTTACCCAGCCCCTCCGCGATGCCTGTCCACGACCGAACCCCACCAGGCCTCGTGCTGGCACCCCAGGCAGCAGTCCCAGCCCTGCAGCTTTAACCGTATTACAGAGACAGGGCTGAGACTCTGCGGCATTTTCTAAACTCACAGAAGCGAGAGTCCCCACAGAGCTCCAAATCACCACCAATACATTTATTTGAGGGAAATGGGGTCCAATCTTATCAGGAACTTTTAAACTGGAAAGGACTAGAGACACTGATCTGCCTAATTCCTCCAGACTCACACAGAAGCACAGGTGATTGGGCCCAACACGTGAGGCATCACCGTTAAACGGACAAGCGTGAGATGAGGGGCAGTTCCAAGGAGTCACAGGATTTCCCTTTCAGAAGTGCAGCCCTCACATCAGAAAGTAGTGTTGAGAAAAATGAGGCAGAACCCAGCGGCAGCCTATAGCAGGGGCCTGGACGTGACAGCGGCCGCATGAGGAGGATGGCCCAGTTTACCAAGCAGCGTGACACGCCCAGCTGGCTGGACCCCATGGGCCTCTCCCCAGGGGACTCAGCAAGGGTGGGAAGGAAGGGGCCGATTTCCCCCTTCCTTGCTCACCCGCCTCCTCCAGGTCTAACAGGTGGCCCTCCTGACCCCACAGCTGGACAGACACACGGGCGGATATGGAGCTGGGGCCCAGGTGGGCGAGTGTGTGGAGGTGCTCTGATGGTCAGGCCAAGCCAGGGCTGGCTGAGCTGTCTGGTCAGGTGATTCGGGTTACTCCAGGGCAAAGCACGACCCTGATGACACGCGACGGAAGAGCAGGCTGGAGCCCCGGAAGAGCTGGCCCTAGACAGGAGGAAAAGCAGGGTCGGTGGGAGGGGAGGCCAGGTCTCCTGGTCCCCCAGAGGTGCCTGGAGCACACAGGCGGGGTCAGGTGGCTCATGTGCGGCCTGGGGTATCAAACCCCCAGGAGCAGCCGGGCCAGGGCCTGAGTGTCCAGGAGCCTGAGGAGGTGATGAGGGGTCCCGTCTCCGTTCCTTCTGCCCTCCCGTCCTCAACCCCTACACCAGGCAGTGCTGGGGCGGCCCCAGGCAATGGCTCGTGGTACTGTGAGGCAGACCCAGGGCGGGAAGAGGCACAGATCTGGTTCCTGACCCTGGGCTCAAGAGCTACAGCTGGCAGAAGGTGGCTTAAGCACAGAACCCAGAACCCAGGGCCCACATCCTACCCAGCCGCCTGCTCAGCTCTGCTCCATCTCAGGACTTGCTGGCCCCAAGGGGTCCCATGGGAAGCTGGAGGCTGGGCCCCCAACACACTAGCACCTCCATAGAGGAGCTCAGCCAAATGGCCTAGGCCACGCAACTTTAAACCCGTGTTACTAAGAAGTGAGATCCTGGGCTATGTGCGGGAGTGTGTGTTCCCCACACTCGGTGTGTACTTTTATTTTTGCTTGTACCCTCTTTTTCTCTTTGTTCAGCACAAGTTCACTCTGGGGAGAGCTGGATTCTCTCATACCCCTTTACCCCACACTTCTCAAGTAAACTTTTTCATATCATTAAAAAAAAAAAAGGGTCCTGGACTCTGCTACCTGTGTGGGCCAAACCACCCTTATGATGTTGATGTATAATTTTCATTTTATTTATTTAAGACACACGGCCTTGCTATGTTGCCCAGGCTGGCCTGGAACTCCTTGGCTCAAGTGATCCTCCCGCCTCAGCCTCCCAAGTAGCTGGGACCTGGCACTAATGCATAATTTTATTTCATTTTCTTTTTTGTTTTTTTGAAACAGGGTCTCACTATATATGTAGTTCAGACTGGCCTTGAGCTCACTATACAGCCCAGGCTGGCCTCAAACTCTCAATGATCCTCCTGCCTCAGCCTCCAGGGTGCTGGGATTATAGGTGTGTGCCACCATGCTCAGCCTGATGCACAATTGTAAAATAAATCCAGACTTGGCCACCTCAAATCCTTTCTCAAGTAAGGTAAGGTGCAAATGTAAATGCCTTAATCCAAGTGTCTTATTCTCTTTATCCACAGAGTCAGGGAGTCAGGTCATGTCAGATTCCGAGACCTCCTAACCCCCACCCAAGGAGGAACACACGGAACTGGCCCACCTGCAGATCTGGCAGCGTGCAGGCGCCTCCTGCTGGGGCTGCTTACCTGCACACTCAGGTACTTCCAGCAGTGAATCCAGGACTTGAACACCGGGGAGTATGGGGGGAGCCCAGCCTGGAGCCTGAGGGAGAGGGGCGCATGAGACCCAAGGGCGGCAGGAGACAGTCAGCCAAGGGCCCAGGACCCCAGTCGGGTGGCTTGGAGCTGCCACCTGCCTGCACCCGGAAACCAGGTTCACCCCAAAGGTGTGGAGAAGCCCAGAAGAACAGTTGAAGGAGGGGGCTTGGCTGGGGGTCCCTGGCAGCACAGACAGGCCATGGGGGTCAGGGGGACACCTACCCGCAGTTGTTCACGGCCATGAGGTCGCCCACCAGCAGGAAGGGGTAGGTCAGCATGCTCACCGCAATCTGAAACGACAGCACCCGGGCTCGGTGTCCCAGGCACCAGGCCCCTACGTCCACCTTGCCAGCCACCCCAGGCCCACCGCAGCCTCAACTTACCCCCATCACAAACTTGGTGTAGCTCCGGATAGCCAGGGCCTGGCTGAACTGGAGAAACAGACAGAGGCGCGGTTTGCCCCGGGCACAGGGGGCGCAGACATCACCAGCCCCCCACCCACACAGCGCCTCCCTCTCAGGGCTGCCTGGCTCAGACCCAGAGCTGAGACCTCAGAGGCACAAGTGGGCGAACTGGGCTATGGGGTCCGGGGACCCTGGGTGCAGCCTGCGTCTGCCTAACACGGTGTGTGGCTTGGCACGGTGATAGGCTCCTGAACTTTTGGAAAGACAGACTCTTCCTGGGCACCTGGACGAGGGAATACCAGGCTCCTGCTACCCCACATCACCAAGCATCCACCTCCAGGTAAGGGACGACACTAAGACCCCACTCCTGAAATTCAGGTGGGCACAGCGCAGGAAACAGCCCTATCTAGGGAGGACGGTCACCGCCCGTGCTCAGCTTTCTGTGGGGCGCCTGTCCCACCCAAGGTCCAGCGCTTCTGTGCAGCCCCAGGCAGAGAGCTACACCAGACCCCAGAGACCAGAAGCGCCCTCCCTCCAAGGCCCCGGGCTGTCCCAGGCCTGCTGGGGGGGGACAGGACAGCAGCAGCTCACCCACCACAGCCCCAGGGAGGAGCAGAGCCGCAGGCCTGCGGGACTGTCACTGCAGGTGGGAGGCAGACTCTCCCGGAGCCACTTCCGCTGAAAAGTTGGGACAGACACCCAGCCAAGCCAAAGGCTGGCCAGGTCTCTGTGTGCAGAGGGTGTCACTGGGACCACCCACCCCGGAGTCCCCTGCCTGCCAACAGCCCAGTGACCCTGGCTGGCAGAGGTCCCCTGTCCCCCACGACCCTCCTGGGCTGGGTCATCCTCACTGTTCAGAGTTGGGCCACCAGGAGTCCCAGCCCTGACCCTCATCTTGTGCCCTGGATGCCTCCGTCCAGCCTGTGCCCAGACCAGTCCTGACAAAACCAACCAGGCCAAGCCCGCCAGGACCCTCCAGCCCCACTGCACACTCGAGGGGCAAAGACCCAGCCCGGCCCTTCTGGATCCTGCTAGGTGACTCTGGGGCCCATTTCACCTCTGGTCCCCATGCCTGCCATCTGTCAGAGGGTCTCATGCCTGTCCTGGTCCCTAGGCAGTGAACCAGGACCCAAGGTCTTGACGTTCACAAAAGGGGAGCATGAACTACTATTAAAAGGTCCAATGATTACAACTGTCACCAGGTTCTCATCTCGTTTCATGCACCCTACTTGGGCTCCATTTCTAAAGCTGCCCACGGCCAAGCACCCTGAAGTCTGGGTTCCAATCTGAACTTTCACCTCCCCCTGGGTGAAGCTGACTCCAGGGACAAATGTGGACGCCCTCTCACCCTTGGGGCGGGAGCACCCCAGACCCTGGGCATCAGGAGTACACGGAAAGAAGGACAAGTCCTTGTTCCAACCAACCTGGGAACCTGGATTCTGGTCGTTTCCCAGCCCCCCGGGGGAGTCACTCACGCTGTCATCCACCAGGTAGGCATTGATGAAGTGGGCCAGCAGGTTACAGCCCCACAAGAAAACCACGTCGCCCAGGAGGTGGGGGATTAAGCCACTACAAAATAAGTGAGCAGAGATGAGCAGGCCAGGGGGCAGTCCCGGGCAGCACAGCCTGGAGGCAGGGCAGGTGGGCCAGCTGGGGCCACCACTACCCAGGTGCAGCTCAGGGAGGAGGTTACGGGCTCTCAGATGGGCGGATTAGAGCGCAGAAGCCCAGCATGGAGTGGTGATGGTGCCCGGTGTGAGTCAGTAGCAGAGCGCTCGCCTGTTGAGTGTAAAGCCTGGGTTCCAGCCCTAGCACCAAACAATAAATAAATAAGTAAGAAGCTGTGACTGTCGGGCCGGGGATTTAGCTCAGTGCTTCCACCGCCTGCCTCACAAGTGCAAGGTCCTGAGTTCAATCACTGGTACCAAAAAAAAAAGAGAGAAGCTGTGACTGTAGCACACCTGGTATTATTTTCAGATGCAAGGCAATGCCTTGTAGCTGCTCCTGCCTGGTCCCCAACCATCAGCAGCGCTGACAGGACCTTGCTCCACACAGCCCTTCGCCTCTGGAATGGTCCGCGATGACACTGTGTGAGTCCGGCCCCCTGACCCAGGGGTGCCCTTCAGGGACACGGCTCTGGCAAGCCCGAGGGGAAGCTCCCCAGCCCAGGGATAAGCAGGCCCCTTCGGGCCACCTGTGTGTCTGGCCACAGTGGTGTCCTTTGGAGAGTGGTATAGGATACGCACGTCGCACCACCACCGTGACTCTAAGGTCACCGCCTGCGGAAGTCGACTGGCCGCCAACGTGGCTGCCTGCCAGGTGCGGGAGAAAGCACAGCACGTGCCAAGGGAAAGGGTGGGCACCGGTGGGCCTGGCGGACTCGGCGCCCACAGGCTGCACCTCACAGGCTCAGCCTGGGCTCCATGGAGGAGCAGCACCCAGGGCATCACAAGAATTTCAACGAGCCCCAAGAAATGTGTTGGTTTTAAAAGACTAAAAAATAACTTTTTAAAAAATGTGTTTATGTGCTTGTGTGGGTGGGGAGGGCTCTGAGAGATGCTCTCGGAGAATGTCTGCCTGTCTGCAAGAGAAGCTGATGTCTGTTTTTCAATTTTTACTTTTTTTTTTGCAGTTTTGTGAATTGGCCCACGGGCTTTTTCACACTGAGCTACATCCCCACCCTTCTGTTTTTTATTTCGAGACAGGGTCTTGCTGTGTTGACCAGCCAGGGGTGGACTATGGCTCATCTGCCTCAACCTCCGATGACAGGCGTGTGCTACCACAGCCAGCCTGAACGCAAAAACTACAAAATACTTGAAGGGTTTAAAAAAAAAACCCAAACATATCTGTTATGAGATGTATCAACAAAACCAGCTTTGGGGGTACATTGCAATCCTGGCTCCTCTTCCCGTCAGGCCGACTGCGCATGGGCGGCGCTTCCTGGGAGCCGCACCGCGCATGCGCACAGGCCGTACCTCATCACAGAGCCGCTGCAGCCTGGCAATCCCAAGCACGAAAAGCGCTACAGGAGCGGATGCGCCGCGTCTCCAGGTTCTAAGTATCCGGAAGGCTCAAGGGAAATATCTACTCCCGTATTTGTATACGTGCACAGACGTGTGTGTAAACATGTACACGAGCCAGGATTTCCCAACCTCGGCAACCTGTGCTGTCCGCTAGCACCTGGGCGCCAGGCGTGAAACCACGAGACGCCCCAGGCACTGCCCGTCCCTGGAGAGCAGGGACCTCCGGCCGAGCACAGCCACAGATACGCCCCACTTACATAGATGTTTCCCGGCTAAACAGAGATCAACAAACCCACTCTTCGAGCTGGAAAGCGCAACAGGCAGACTGGTTAACAGAGCCAGCATCTGGCCGGATACGTACTTAGCTGTAGGCCACCGCCTGGGCCTTCAAAAGCCCAACAGCCGTGCTCGCCGAGCCTGGCCTCTGGGTTCTATTTGTGCTCTATGCTTTCCCAACAGGCTCTTCATAGTGAGTGCTCTTTACAGGTGAAGCCAACTGGATGAGGGCCCGGAGAGGGCCAGGGCTGGTGGGCAATGGATTCTGTCCCTGTGGGGGACGAGGCCTCTGCCCTAGTTGACAGCTGCAGAAACACAGGCCCAGCGGTACCAGACCTCCTGACTTCCAGAGGAGCCAGAAATACAGGTATCCGTGTGGACGTCTCCAGTGTGCAACATTAACTAATTGCTCAGGACAGAAAGCGCTGGCCGAAGCCAGCCTGTGAGCTGCCACCGTCCACCCTGCAGGCCAAGTCACAGATTCCGTCCTTGCTGGCAGTGCAGCCGAGGTCTGAGGGGCCCAGCTCTGTGTCCACCGCAGCAGACCTGGCAGGGCGGCCTCTTCGTGTGCTGGACAATTGTTCTCAGTGCCAGGGACTGAACCCAGGACCCACACGAGCTAAGGCACATGTTCCACCCCTGCTACGGAGCTGGGGCAGAACTCCAGTCAGTGGAGGGCAGCAGCCGTGGCCCAGGAGTTGGCGGGCACCTCGGGGAGAGCCATGCCCATGCTGGGGACAGGGTGAGGAACTCACGTACACGAAGAATCCCAGCAGCCCCTCCTCTTTGAAAATCTTCCCGATGGAGCTCAGCACACCGCTGCAGAGAAGGCAAGACAGGGATCCAGGCCACGGGTCACCGCCGGAGCCCACCCACCAGCCTTGCAGCCCCTGCCCAGGGAGGGAGGAAGCCTGCTGCAGGGAGAGCCCAAGGAGTAGGGGGGTGCAGTGCTGGTCTGGGGCACAGCGCTCTCCTGCTGTTCTCTGTGGGATGCAGTTCAGGAATGCACCCTGGCCTTCCTCCTGCCTGGGTCTGGGGCTCAGCTCTGGCCACCCAGCCTCCCAGAGAGGGGGTGCAGGCCAACCCCACAGCAAGAGCAGGAAGGGGTGGTGAGCAGAGCCACATTCCAGGGGCCTTGAGCAGGAACCCAGTTCCTGCAGCAAAAGGCCCTCCCAGGGGAATCTGGGCCCAGTGCAGGGGCCACTGTAGCTGGTTCGAGATCAGAGGCAGCTTCCATGTCTCCAGAGACTACGCAGAGCCCTAGGTAAGGGAGAGGCAGCAGGGAGGACAGGGAGCCAAAGCCCCACCAGGCCCAGGGCTCTCCTGAGAACAGCAGCCTGGACCCTGGGGTTCGTGCCAGGCACCAACCTCACGTTGTCTGAGGAAGTGGACATTCCCACTAGCAAGCTTCCTGGGGTGGCAGCCCCACCGGGCAGAGCAGAAAATTGACCCGGGAAGGCTGTCGGGACAGCTGTCTTCAGTCCCACCTTCGGGGCACAGCAGGTCTAGGTATGTGGTGTACAGCTAATCGGGGAGCTCCGAGCCCACAGAGAGGACAGTGCTCAGCAGAGGGTAGAAAGAGCTAGAATCTGGGTTCTGCAGCAGCTTGAGAAACCATCAGGGCGTAACTGAGGGAGCCAGGAGGGACCTGGTTCGGTCGCCCAGCAGACCCCATCCAGTGCCGTCACAGACACAGGTCAGCGGGGGTGTGGAGCCTGAGCCCAGTGGCCAGGCTGGCAGACCCAGAATTACCCACCTGTACTTGGCCTCCCGTCCCACAAACTGGACCATGCAGCGCATTGAGATGACTGTGGAGAGAGAGGCACGGGGGTGACCCAGTGGCAATGCCTGGGACACGCAGCCAGTGCCCAGCGGGGCCCCACTGCACAACACAGCCTCCGTCAGAGTGCAGGAAAGGGGGCCCCGACCCTGTCGCCACAGCAGCCCTTCTGCCTGGAAAGGATCCGGGCCATTGCTCCTGGGGAGGGGGTTCCCGTGGGAGCCCCAGCCCTCCCACTGTGCAGAGCCTCAGCAGCCGCCACGCCCCAGCTCACCGTGCAGGGGGTGGGCCAGCATGCGGGACACGCACTGCATCATCATCTCGTAGGATGTCTGGAGGACAGAGAGCACGGCCCGTCAGCCTGGGTCTGGGGAGCCCGGATCTGCAGGGTCGCCCGCCCTCCCCAGGAGTGCTGCCCTGTCCGGTCGGCTCGGTGCCGAGAGGCTTTCTGGGTCTGAGCATCCCCGACGGGGCTCCCCTCACACCACCCAGCCAGCACACACAGGGATCCCAACTCTGCGGGAGCGCTGGTCGGGACCCTGCAGTGCAGATGCCCACCTCCTTCACCACCTTCCTCAGGGAGGTCTTCATGTCGTCCTTGTTGGAAGCCTGCTCGATCTCATCCGGAGGGAAGACCTGGTTCAGGGACAGAGGATGCAGAGTGGGCTCAGCAGACACCTCTAGGGAGCCAGATGGCAGGAGGCTCCCAGTGTGTCCCTGCCTCAGCTGCAGGCCAGGCCACCTAGGGCTCCCCCAGGCCTGGAGCACAGGGTGCAGGAAGCCACCGCCCCGCTGTGGGCAGCAGGACAGCGGGCAGGGGCCTCCCAAGCACCAGCTCACCTTCTTCATGCTGCCCCGGGTCACGGTGGAGAGGGCATTGGACATGAGGCGGGGGCTCAGGCCCCGGAACAGCCCGATCTTCCCGTCCACTTGCACGATGTACTTTGCTGCAAGACAGCAGAGGCTGCGGTGTCACACCAGCCAGGGCACCCCAGCCCCAGACACCAGGCCAGATGCAGCCCGTGCCAGACCCTAATCCCAAAATGAAATGTCCCCTCGCCCGTTTCTCTCTACAAAACCTTCCCGACACACTCCGACAAACAAGTGCTTCCATTTCCCTATTTTTTGGCTTTGAAACTCTACTTGGCAAATCCAGCTATGGTTCTCAATTCAGTAACGTAGGAGCTGCAGCCCAAAACCAATTTCTACAGCTTATAAATGTTTTTCTTCGGTGAAAAAAATAAAGGAGAAAGAGCACACACAGGCGTGATGTCCTCACAACCTGGGGAGGAGCAGCAGAAGGGAGGACGGCCAGGGACACCTGGCCACCCCGAAGACACGGCGCTAGCCCCTGTGCTGGCACTTCCGGTAAAGGCGGCTGAACCAGGGGCACCCAGACCTCTGCCCCCACCGTGCCCAGCACTCAAGCCCACCCACGGGGGCAGCAGTTTCCACTTCCCTCGCTCACATCAGCTTTCGAAACCTGTTCTAGAAGGCAATGTCGCTCCTTGAACCCGTCCCCTTGGGAGGCAACAGAATCTGCCCTCAGTCCTGGCGCCCCTTTCAGACCCCTGCCAGCTCTCTAGCGCCACACAGAGGCAGCGAGGAGCTACCGCGCCTCTTCCCGGCACGGGGCCCCAGCCCAGCAATTCAGGTCACCTGCACACATGGCTTCCTGAGATGGGGGCTGGAAGAGAGAGCAGGAGTGGAGGGGACGCTGGACACCCACAGAGGTGGCAAGCAGAGGAAGGGCTTCCTCTGGGGTAGGGGAGACCGTAGGCAGCAGGAGCCACATGACACATCCTAGGCAAACACTTGACTCTTCCGGTCTGATCTGCCCATCTCTTCCCACAGAAAATGTCACAACTGCCAGGCTTGGTGCCGCATGCCTGTGATCCCAGCACTCAGGAGGCTGAGGCAGGAGGATCGCTGCAAGTTTGAGGCTAACCTAGGCTACACAGTGAGACCCTGCCTCAAATTAAATTAAATTAAATTAAATTTTTAAGTGTCGCAACAGCTGTGGTGGCCTCCACCACACGTGGGGAGAAGCAGACACTGTGCCAATCAGTGTCCAGAGCGCCCGGTGCATCTCATAACAGCCAGCTGAGGTAATGTTTCTGGAAATAGGGCAGGGTCACCTCCGAACCCTGCCCGTCTTTGCAGGCCTCAGAGGTCAAGGTCGCTCCGCCATGTGCCTCTGCAATGGCCATGAACACAGACAGTCCGGGCAGTCTCCAGTCTCTCACAACACCACGGGTGGCCACACACAAGAGGCCACAATGACGAGGCCTGGCAGTGCCCAGGCGGTTGCCACACACCCAGGGTCCCCTCTGTTTGTGGGCGTTGCTGCTCAGCCTGGGGGGCCCTTTTCTCCCCTACACTGACTTCAAAACAAAGGCACACAAACATCTCCCCACAGAAAGACACAGAAGCTCTGCAAGAAGCATCTGACTGCCCAGTCATCCTGCACAGTGGAAGTTATCCAGCAGGGACACTCTGGCCAGCCCAACAGCACAAGGAGGGCAGAGGGCAGGATGTGGAGTAGTCTGGACCAGTGTCTGGCTGTGAACACGTGGCGGGAAAGGGTGCATTTAAAGGAGGCACCCATGGTCGTCTGGCACAGGAGGAGATGGGGAGAGAGACAGCCGGGGTGGACCTGGAGAGGCCCCGGCCAGCTGGCACCTCCAGGTGTGTTGGGGGACAGCACGGTGCCCGGGACAGCTGATGGGACAGGGACCTGACGTAGGCCCTGGGCCGGAGGTGCTAACCTGACCTGGCAGGCAGGAGCACAGCAGGTACTGGTAAGCAGCGCCCGAGGATCGGCAGCAAGGCGGGGACACAATGGCGACAGCCGGGTTGGAGAGACACATAGCCAGGAGGCCCCTGCCCTTCCTCCCGCCAGGCAGCAGAAGCACAGGAGGGCTGGCCAGAGGGTCAATCAGCCCCTGCCCCACTTCCAGGCACAACCTGGATCTGAAGGGATGACAGGGACCAGGCCCCCGGACTGGCACCTCTGAGGCACCTGGTCCCCACTCCCGCTGGGCACCTCTGCCCTGAGCTGTGCGCCAGGTCCCTGAGGCCCCTGGGCCTGACCCCACCGTTGGCCTCTTCCCCGTCACTCACCGTAGGTGAAGAAGCTCGGCAGGTAGAGGACCTTCCGCCCAAGCACGTTGGTGCCCAGGGTGGGCGGCATCGGCTCGTGACCCACCTTCGGGAGCGAGAGACAAAGCGAGTTCTGCGGGTGACGCCCTCACCACGCTGCTCTTCCCCAGCCTCCGCCTGGTCTCCTGCAGCCCCTGCTGCTCCCGTCCTCCACAGCAACACCCCAGAAATGAGGAACAGTGGGCGCCTGGACCTGAGCCCGCCCATTCCCCAGCACCCTTGCCTCAAGTTCGGGGGTAGAAATCCCTATTTTCAAGTACTTCTGACTCCACACTCCTCTCAGAGTAAACCTCATCTCCAGCTGAAATCTTCATCGAAATCTAATTCCCAATCCCGGCAACACCAGAACATACTGGGCTCAGGTCGCAGGCCACCGCCCTTACACGCCACACTGTCACCTGCTCCCAGCCTCTACCAAGGCCGTCACAACCCCAGCACTGCTGCCCTCCTGTCCCCTGGTCCCGAGAACGACCCCTCCACTGTCAGCCATACCTTGTGACAAAGGGCCGCCCTCAGGCCTGCGGGGCTGCAGGCCCTAACCAGGCATCTGTCCACCCATGCCCACCAGGACAGCTCCACTGAGCTTAGGCATCTGTTCTGCTGCCCAACCTCAGGGGATGCCAGGGAGGCGCCAAGGTGTGCAGGAACCCAGGCTGCCCTGCTGGGCGGGGCCAGGACACCCCCACCTCAGCCTCACGCGGCCTGCCTCAGGTGCCTCCGACCACCTTCCCCAGGCTGTTTCCTTTTCTTCTTGGCCTAGTCAGGCAAGTGGTTTTGTTTTTGTTTTTTTTTAGACAGGTCTCCCTATGTAGCACAGGCTGGCCTCAAACCCAGATGATCCTCCTGCCTCAGCCTGCTGGGCTTGCAGGTGTGTGCCAGCCGGCCCAGCTCTTTTGCAGGGGGCGGGCGGGGGGGGGGTTTGAAAGTTCAGACTGTCTCTTGGATTCTGAGACAGGTGACAGATTCCTGATTATAAATTTTAAAACCCTGTTGTTACGAGGACTATCTTGAAGCAAATTCAGCCCAGGGGAGCTGGGCAGGGAAAGGGGAGGCATGAGATGTCTCGGCAGCTGCCTTCCCTACCAGACCTTTCCTTTCTGGGGCTGGGGTTTAGATTCCATCCTCTAAGGTGCAGGTCCTGCTCCCTTTATCCCCTTCACCCCAAGTCTCTACCCAGCTACTCACTGCAGTGTGGGGTCCGGCTGACTCCAAAGTCACCTTACGCCTGTGTCCCTCCTCCCCGTGTCCCCATGGCCTCCAAATCTGCTGAGTTCACTTTCTGAACTTCTACTTGGCTTAGCAAAGACTCGTTGGCCTGATGGCCCCTGGCCTCTCACCACCGTCTCCGTGTCCCAGTGGTGTTCCCACACCTGTTGAAAGGGTCCTGCCCGAGCCAGCACTGAAGCAGCTGCCAACTTCAAATCTAAGGCACTGCTTGGCACTGAGTCCACACAACCCCAAACCCAACACTCGCTCCTGCTCCCCAAAACAGTAAGTACCTTTGCAAGATGCTGTTCTGACTCCAGCTGTACCCGTTAAGTGCTCAGCCCAAGAGGGCTCCCCCATTTTCACCTGCCCCCCCCCCCCGCCGTCTAGTTCTCATCCTTTGGGCTCCTTCATTTCTCAATTCTTCCAAAACACCTTATTTCAACTCTCTTTCCAAACCTGTAAGCCAAATCAACCACTGCCCAGGTGGGCACTACCCCTGCACTTCCTTCACACGGAGCCCACCCCAAAGCTTCTCCCACCTGCCGCCCTAAAATCCCAGCCCCCAGAACCCTCACTTCTCAACTCAGGCTTTAGCAAAGCACCAATTTCTCTCCCAGATCTGTGACCACGATGGCTGTGAATCCCAGGCCTCTTGGTAAAGCAGGCCTCGCTCTCACCCAGACTGCGATCAAATGCCAGCCTCGGCGGGCACCTTCCCCAGGATCCCTTTCTGAACCTCAGGTACCTCGATGCCCCACCGAAGCTCCTCATTCCGACAGATTTCTGGTCACACTCAAAAACCTATTTATGGCCTCCATTCCTGACCTCAGATTTCAGTTATGCCCATTCTTAAAGCCCTCTCTTTCCCAGCCCATGTGGTATCCTCTCTAATTTCAAGGCACAGGAAAATCCGACAGCACTGGCCTTAAACCTCAAATCTCCATCTTAATTTTTTACTTCCCACCCTCCACTCTTCCAAAGTGGAAAATTCTGGCGCACAGGTTCAGACTTGAGTCCACCTCAATCCCGCACTTGCTCCCCCACGGTGTCTGTGCACAGCCCTCCTTCCAGGGAGACCTCTCTTTCTCTAGCCCTGCTCTTCGTGCCGCACTGCTGGCCGCCAGAGTGTGCCGGGTGCCCAGCGCGGCCAGCCCTGTCTCCACCTTGGTCTCAATTGTACCAGACCCTCCCTACCCCGCCATTGTCTTCCCCCGCCCCTTCGGCCCCACACCAATCCTCCAGCCCCTTGCAGTTCGCTTCTCCTCCAAACGCGTCATCCCCATCCCCTCCGGCCCCCGTCTCCGGCCCAGCGCGTCTCCGCCATTCCGCTCCCCCAGCTCGTCCTCGCCCTGTTTCCTCTCCCCAAACGCGTCACACCGTCCCCTCCTCCCGCCAAATCTGTCGTCGCCATCAGATCCATAGCCCCCATCTCCGGTCAGCAGACAGCTCCCCTCCGCGGAATTCTCTGCCTCCTCACAAACTTCAGCACCCCCGCCCCCGCCGCCCCGCTGTTTCCCTCCTAAATTTCAGGCCCGGACGCCTCTCCTTCCTTTGTCCCCGGAAGAAGCCCACCTCTGTAAATCCAGAGTCCCCGTTCGTCCTCTACCCGAAATGGGCTCCGCATTTTCTAGTTATTTTACCTTGGCCCCTAACTGTCCTCCCTACCCATTCGCCCAAACTTCGCGCCCCTCCCCCAATCCTGTCGCCCCTTCTCCCCACCAATCCGCCGCCTTCCCTATCGCAAGCCATCGCCCCCTTCCTGTAGCTCCCCAACCCGTCTGTCTGTTCCATCACCCCCTCCGCCGCACACCCCAAATCCCTATTTCCTTCCTCTCCCAAATCTGTCGCTCAGGCCCCTGTGCCCCGCTCCTTCTCTTCCACTTCTATCTTCCCTTTGGCCCCCGAAGCGCACCGTCCCCACCGCTCCCCAAACGTCGCCGTCGCCTCCCCCGCCCCAATCCTCCTCCAGGTCCTGGTCTGTCACCTGGATGAGCAGCTTCACGTAGAGCAGCGGGTGGCTGAGCGCCGTCACCCCCGCGCCCAGCGCCACGAACAGAGCCTCGGTGGTCGGGGCGCTGTCCCCGGAGCCCAGGCCCCCGGACGCGCCGTCCATCCTGCGGGCTGTGGGCTGCGCCGCAGGCCGGGGGTGGCGCGGGTGTGCGCGGTGCGCGGGCGGCGGGTCGCGAGCCCGGGCCTCGACTCCCGCTGCCGCTCCGCCGCGAGCTCCCGCTCCCGCTCCAGCTCCCGCCATCCCCGCGGCGCGGCCGCCAGCCCAGGGCGCCACTTCCGGGTTTGAAGCCCCCCCCCAAGGCGCGGGGCGCGAGGACACGCCCCGTCACGTGCGCGGAGGCCACGCCCCACGCGTCAGGGGGGGCCCCGGCGGCCCTGCTCAGGGCCGCGGGGGCGCGCGAGCGCCGCGCGCCGGAAGTGGCCCTCGGGCCACGGGGGCGCGCGCTGGCTGAGTGGTGGCGACCGGGACTGCGTGCTTCTCAGCCGCTCTCAGCGGCTGTGGGAGTTTCCGCTCCAGTTCTGGGCCCGCCCCTTTGCGGCCCAGATCCGGGTCCCCGCGGCCCAGGAGGGTCGGGCGTGCGCGGGGCAGTCCTGCTGCTGCGGGCCCAGCCACCCTCCGGCCCCGCCCCACGTCCCCGCCTCCCCAGGGCCCTGGAAGTCTTTTTGCCCTGAAGCAGTCGAGGTCCCCCTCGCGAGATAGATACTTCTTTGTGAGCACGCTCAGGCACTGGGCCGGGAGCCCTTGCTAATAAAAGCAGTAACAACTGGGAAAAAAAAAAAAAAAAAAGCAATAACAACTAGCCCGTAAATTGCTCTCACTGTGTGCCAAGTTTGGGAACTTTGGAAAGTGCATTGCGCGTTTAAATCTAACCCTCGAAACAGCCCTGCGAGGGCTCAAGGTCCTGGTCTAAGCGCGCCGCACCCCGCCCCGCAACTCCAGGAAGGGCACCCTGCTGACGACGGGGCGATTGTGGGGTTCAGGTTTCTGTCAAGTAGGTCCCAGTCCGCAGGGACAGCGCCACACGGGCCGCGGGCCCTCTCCTGTATTTACTATTTCTAGTACTTCCTGAGAGGTCTTTAAACATCTTTCTTCTGGCCTTCTGGTCCCTGTCTTGCCCCTTAAGCCCCCCACTCCCCGCCGCCCCTCCTGACGCAAACACTGTGTACACGTTCCGAGATCTAGACACTCCAGTCCCCGCCAGTCTGCTTCCTCGGTCTCCCCAGCCGAGGTTTCTGCCGGTCTCATGGCTGCAAAGCCTCCCAGCTCGTTTAATTTACCTCATGTTCTCCAACTCCAACCTGAAATGGAGGACTCTCTCCTCCAACAGGCCTTAAAATGACTTCCTTTGGGGGGAGGGGGTTGAGACAGGGTCTCGCCAGGTAGCTCAGGCTGGCCCCCAACTCTCAGCGATCCTCCTGCCTCAGTCTCCCAAGTGCTGGGATTACAGCCATGCGCTACCAAGCCTGGCTTTGTTTTTGTTTCTCGAGACAGCGTCTCCCTCTGTATTCCAGGCTGGCTTTGAACTCACTATGTAGCCAAGGCTGGCCTAGAACTGGTGGCAATCCTCCTGCCTCAGCCTCTCAAGTGCTAAGACTACAGACAGGAGCCACCGTGCCCGAATCAAACTCTTTTCCTGTACAAACGTTTTTGGGTTTTTTTGGTACTGGGGATCGAACTCGGGAACTTGTGCTTGTGAGGCAGGCACCAGAACCACTGAGCTAAATTCCCAGCCCAAATGTTTTCTTTCTTCTTTTTTTGGTACCGGGATTGAACTCGGGACCTTGCACTTGTGAGACAGGCACCAGAACCACTGAACTAAATCCCCGGCCCTACAAACATTTTTTTGTTCACTGGGTTTTTCCTCATTTTTCTCTAGCTGTCTGTTTTTCTTTCTGAACTTGACTTCCCACCATGAGACACCATGTGTGTTTTCTGGAAGTCCTCTTTCACGAGTGTCTTTAATTGCACTGTCATGGCTGCTTCGATGTCCTGACTTGATTCAAAACATTTCCTTTTCACGGTCATTTTGATTTTGGGGAAGGGTCAGAAGATGCAGGGTCCCACACCCAGTGACTAAGGTGGATGAGGACGCGCAGTAATGTTTTTATGAGGCTGCCTTTCCGTGGGCAGCACCATTCTCCATAGTTCTGAGCACGTCCCATAAAGACAAGAAAGAGGGCCGGGATTTAGCTCAGTGGTTCTGCCGCCTGCCTCGCAAGCGCAAGGACCCGAGTTTGATCCCCGGTACCAAAAAGAAAAAAAAAAAAAGAAGGAGAACTTCAGAAAGTGGCAAGAATGATGGGTCAAGTGTGTTCAAAGGGAGGGGCGAGGGACAGTATTTTGTGGGGGATTCATGGCAATATATATTTTACTATAATAAGTTTTTCAATTTAAATATTCACCGTGTCACTGTGTTTGCTTGTTTGTTTGTTTGTTTGAGACAGGGTCTCACTATATAGTTCAGACTGGCCTTGAACTCACTATGGAGGCCAGGCTAGGCTCAAACTTGGGGTCCTCCTCCTGCCTCAGCCTCCCGTGCAGCCTCCCATTACAGATGTGTGCCACCACACCTGGCATCACTGTGTATTTTTTATCACATGTCATACATACAGTAAATGTTCAGTAAATTGTCTTTAAGTGATGGAAGAATTTTCCCAAGCAAAGAAATTAAAGTAAATAGGTCACAGGCTGGGCGTGGTGGGTAGTATACCCCTGTAATCCCAGCACTCGGGAGGCTGGAAGGAGAATTCAGTTAAGTTAGTTAGACCTGTAGGGTACCAAGCAGAAGCAAATGTAACACCACACCATAGTTATATTTCTACAATCTGGACTCATGGAGACGGCAAGAGGAATCAGAAAATTCAAGAATCATTATGTTCACAATAAAAAAATATACAGGGCCGGAGATTTACCTCAGTGGTTCCGGCACCTGCCTCGCAAGTGCAAGGTCCTGAGTTCAATCCCTGGTACACAAAAAAGAAAAGAAAAGATGGCAGAAAATAGTCCCCAGTGCTGTGGCTCAGGTGGCATCACCCCGCTCAGTTCTGGAGAGAACCGGACAGGAGGTCAAGGCCTGGCCCGCCATGGGGGTGCCCTGGGGTGGGCACTGCGCCCTGCTGTAAGATGGGCTGCTTTGTGCAGGGCCCCAGTGACTAGCTCTGGGTCCGCTCACCTGGCTACCCTGGGTGGAAGAACTGGGTTGGTTTTCTCCAGTTGGTCTTCACTCCAAAGCTTTGGGGATTCTTGGCAGCTGCTCTAACCCCGCTGCTAGAGGGTGGCCTCTCGGGGCGCCAGAGTGGAGCTATACAGCCAGCTCAGTGCGTTGTGGGCCAAGTCAGTATTTGTTGTTGTTGTTGTTGTTGTTTTACAGGGGCCTGAATCCAGGGCTACATCTGCAGCCCTTTCTTATTTTTTGATACGGTTTTGCTAAGTGGCCCAGGCTGGGCTTGAACTTGGAATCCTCCTGCCTCAGCCTCCCAGAGTGCTGGGATTCCAGCCCTGCACCACCATACCCAGCTGCATCGAGGTTTTTAAGTACAAATATGGGTTACTTTATTAAAACTCCCAAATCTGACTTTCTCATGGGGAGAACCAAAAAGAAAATCTGGCATCAAGGAGCCTATATTCCCTCTTGGCGGCCATAGGTCACACCAGGGCAAAAGCTGCCTGGAAAGAGGCCACAGGTTCTCCCACAATGCCCCTGTCTGACCGCGCACCTGCCCCAGCCAGTTTTGCTACCCCTGTGGTTCAGGTGGAAACCTGAGTTTGTAAGTCCCAGTTTAGACGATGCCGTCTTGGGAACTAGTTTGGGGTGTGTGTGCATGCGTGTGTGTGTGTGTGTGTGCATGTGTGTGTGTGTGTGTGTGTGTGTGCGCACGTGCATGCATGCACAGTTAACTTCTGGGGCAGCTCATGTCTGACCATGTGCACTCACAGGCCCTTCAGTCAGAGGCGCCAGACTTGGCACTGTGGGGTGCCCATGCGCACGGGGTGCCCTTGGGACTTGGGACACCGAGGGCCTCCAATGCCCAGCCAGGGCCTTGACTGGGCTTCCAGGTCCCAATCCAAACCGGCGAACCCAGCTAAACACTGGAATCCTCAAAGCAGGGGCTGGGGTGTCACTCAGTGGTAAGGTGCTTGCCTGGCACGTGTGGGGCTCCAGGTGTGCTCCCCAAAACCACAAAAGTGGGGTGTCACAGAGCACAGAAGGTGACACTTGCAGAAAGGGGATGTCAGTCCTACTGGAGCACTGAGCTTAAGAGGATAGAGCGCGGAATGGGCAGAGCATTGTGAGCCCTGAGTGGCCGGACCCAGCTGGGGACAGGGGAGCTCAAAAACCAGATTCCTGGAGGAAGAGAACCTGTCACTGCCCTCACCCCCTTCCTGCAGCAGCTCTGTCCTTCTTGTGGGGACACAGAGAGGAGCCAGGTCCTCCACCTCAGGGTCCCATGAGCCCCTAGCATCCCTCGTGTCTGTGGAGAGGAGGCCGGAGGAGCTGGCGGGGAGCGGGACCGGGTCCTGCAGCTCTGACTGCCAGGGATGGAGCCCAGGTTGCAGCCACAACCCAGCACCCAGCGATGGGCACTGGCAGCCCTGCATGCTGGCTCACATAACAGGTCTCCCTGGAGACAGCTGGAGGGGCTCAGGTGGGAGCGGGTGGAGGAGAAAGATCGCCAGGTGCAGGCCACACAGGGACAACTTGTCCCCTCTCGAACTGGGGACCCCAGGGCTGGCAGTCAGGGCTCTGGAGAGATGAAAGGAGCCCAGCCCTCTGAGGGCTCCGGGCACCTCTCAGCCAGCCTGGCACTGTCCAGGCCCTGTCTCTCCTGGCGGCTCCGCTGGTGCCTCCTTGCCCGGCCTCCTCCTGCCCTAGAAACCTGACGCCTCCTGGGTGTCTCCCAGATTCGGACCTCAGATCTCCTGGCTCCAGTCACCTCAGGGAGTCTGGCCTGGCATCTGTCTCCCCCCAGGGCCCCCATATCTGGCCCTGGTGACCTTGCCTCCTTGCTAAATAGTGGGAAAGTGCCAGGGCCTGGCATGAGCCTGGCTGTTCCCTGAAAATACCAACTTTGAAACCAGATCATTCACACACCGAGGAGAAAAAGCTGTCTGTATCTCTGCAGCCACCTAGGTCAGGAGGGACACCCACCTGGGCCCTGTGCTACCTTTGGGACTCAGAGAGACCTGGGCGTGGTGAGGGCTGGCGGGGTGTCCCTACAGTGTCCTGGACCCCTTGTCCCAGGTTAAGCCCGCTG